TTGTCTGTTTCTTCTTCTGATGATTATATATAATGGTCAATGAAGGTAAAAAGTTGTTGTTGAGTTTAAGAAAAGCAAGAAATTAGCAAATTTTACGGGCATAAATTTTCATATAATTAAGAGCAACAGCTTCTTCAAACGAGAAATGTGCACCATACTTTTTATTTAGATTGCAAATGTTTGTTCTACCGTGGTTTCTCAGGTGATTATATCCATATTGCCGTTCATGCGCTTTGGAGATGTAAATATTCGAGCGAAAAATTAATTTTTTCACATTGCTTGTTACAGATATAACACAGACTTGAGGTCAAAAGTCTGATCCAAGCAAAAAATGTTGGAAACATTAGTGGCAAAGGTCCTTAACAATTATTTAGGTGAATACTTGGAGAATCTGAACACCGATCAGCTGAACATTGCTTTACTTCAAGGTTTCTGTTCTTTCCGCTAGCAAAGTAAAAGCTACACATTTGTATTAAATGATAATTTTTGGTATAGTTATTAATATTCATCTAGTTGAAGAATTACTCAAAAGACTGATATTAATTACAATATCTGATCTAAATAATAAATTACTTTTTTTGTTAGAAATTAGTGATATGTGAACAAGTTATTTGAAGGACAAGTTGAATTAGAAAACGTCCCTTTGAAGAAATCAGCTCTACGCAAATTCGACATCCCTTTACAGGTATCGATAGTTTACCTCTCTAAACTTTCTTGCTGTTTTGCGCTGTTTCCCAACCAATTTGCTCAATTATTATCCAGATTTATAAACTAATATTTGTTGCTAGATTCTCTCAACTTTGCTCAGGCTTAATTTACTTCAAATATTTATTATGAAGTTGGAAGTAAACGATTTTCATTAAGAATTGGTTTCAACTAAATGTTTGAAAATTTTTACGAAATATTTTTTTCTACAATATCTTTCCTGTCTTCGACTTTCTAACAATTTTCTATAATTCGTTCGATCTGACTCTGAATCGATGTTTGTTCTCATTTTTTATATTCTTTTCAGAAGCATTTTTGATTACAAGTGTTTCAGGTTAAATCTGGTTTACTTGGAAAACTCACATTATCGGTACCGCTGACACGGTTAAGAAGTGAACCTTGGATCATTAAGATGAGTGATTTACTTGTGCTTCTGGAACCATCTTCATTCATGCGATATGATGTAGAAAATGTAGAACTGTATGAACAGGCTAAAAAAGAGCAACAATTAGAAGATCTGGAGAAGTCCCACGTGGTTGCGTTTCGTTTCATTAAGCAGATTATTTGTCTGAGAAATGTTAAAAATTATGATAGGGTCTTGTCTCACTTTCAAAGTTTAAGTTGCCTTTAACTTTTTGGTTGAATAGTAAGTGGAATAAAATTATTAGAAATTAAATTCTCATAGTGACTAATCATATAACTGCTGTTGCTACAAACAAATTAAAATTACATTTATTCAGCAATTCCGATTTTAAAGATGTCCAAAAGTAGTCTTTTTTGGGTTTTAATCTTTTTTTATTGGTCGATATTTTTACGAATTTTTTAACGTTCAAGTTTTTAACTGAATTATCATATTTGGTCAAAGATTTTATCATGCAGTAATATTATTTTTAGAGGCAGTTACTGAATTATATGGGTTTACCCAAACTTGATGGTGGAGGGGGTCAGAATTGGTGGGGTGCATCTTTGGTTTCCACCATTATTAATAATATTAAGGTAATCAAATTTTCATTGATGTTTTCAAAAAAAATTTTTTTTTCGTTGCTTTTTGGCGTAAATACAATATTTGTTCAAAATTTTGTAAATCCGTGCTAATTAAAAAAAAAAAAACAAGGCCATATTATCCTGGCCAGGACTGGCGATGCTGTCTTCTTCAGAGTTTTTGATTTCTAGTTAGTTCTGACCAATGTTCACATTCGGTACGAAGATGCAAATACGTTAATGGATGGTGCTTCATTCACGTGTGGAATACGCATTCATAATATCATTATGCAAACTACGGATTCAAATTGGGTTAGTTGCCTTCATTAAATATGTGATGGTTTCTATATTATTCCATTGTGATTATGATCTCATAATATATTGGAAGTTTTTCTGTTTTCAGGCATTTGGATACATGCAACCACAGGAAGGTGTAAGCATGTTTAAAAAATTGGACATACAGAGGTTGTCAGTATATTGGAACAGTCGACAACATGTTACTGAAGAAATCAAAAACTTCATGGAATTGCAGGTTTATTTTTTGCAGATTTCATTTTCTTTCTCTCCAAAACTGCAAATTCAAGTTTTTTTAAAACCTCTTTTGCATTATAATAACTTGGATTTTTATAATTATTACTTTTTTTTTTCATTGAAATACATTTAAGTATATGATGGGGCCGGAAACAAACAAAGATTATGTGTGTATCCTTCATCCATTCAGTGCAGATGTGTTGGTGGAAAGAAATACCAGCAAAATTCCACTGAACAAGTATCCGTACATCCCTAGATTCAAAGTAATATCTTGTAGAAGTCAAAGCAATTTATATTATAGTTTTTCATAATGAAAAAATTTTCATACAAGCTTTATGTTGAAAAACTGATAAAAGATTGAACATGCAAAAAATTATATGAGAAATTTTTCAAATCGCTGGAAGCTCTAAAATGGAATTTCTTCAATTTTTTTTTCATCTCTCTTTTCTAGCTACTTTGCATTTTCATTCATTTTGCAGTTCAGTTTGCGACCAGAAAAAGTTATTATCGAGCTTTCTAAACGGCAGATTTGGGAAATGACTGCACTTGGTAAAGATTGGGCTCGATTTGATAGATCACGGCAACATCGAAAGTGGCGACCATTAACCACTATTGGTGAAAAGTACATTTCTGCGTATTTACACAATTTAAGTTTGCTAAAACATGACAGCTACTTTCGCTACTAAATATAAGGATTTTCATAGCATGTAGCATGTTTGAAAAGCAGGTGTGATATGTTAAGAGCATTTATTTTTTTTAGTGCGAAGGAATGGTGGAATTTTGCTTATAATCGTGTGCAGGACAAAGAACGAGAGCGAAAAACTAGGCACACATGGAGTTTTGCTTACAATCGCGCCAAACAACTTAATGCATATTGTCGGGCTTATAGGCGAAGACTATTATCTCATTTGGAAGCAGCCACAATTTCTGTATATTTCCTTAAAATTTATTCTTTAATAAGAGTGAAAAATTCTTTATCAAATTAAGATAATTTATCTGTCGAAATACATTTAAATATGTGATGGGGCTAAAAATAATCATTATATGTGTGTCCTTAATTTATTTAATGCAGATGTATACTTGAAAAGAGACGTAAGCAAAATTTCACTTTTTCCTCCATCTCTCTGGTAGTTTTATCATTCGGGTATTAAACGTTTCAAGTATGTATGAAATTCAAAAGTATTGTATTTCTAATCACCTTATCCAAGAAGGTTGCGTACTTTGATGTTAGTTTTTAGGCAACTGGTCATTCAGATAAATTCAAGGAAAATTTATCCGTTGAGGACGCTTCTGATCACGACCATAATGATGATGAGACTATAGATGAAGCCTTCAGCTCATCGCTGGATTCAGCGCCTACTACATCTTCGAAAAAAATGGCAAACTCTGAGGATACAGTTTTGATGAAGCAGATTGAAAGGGATTCTGGTTATACATATCATGTAAATTTTTATTTTCGATGACCTTAAATACAAAATCATTTCTGGAGGTAGTATAGGATTAGGTTGAGGGTAATTTGGTATTCATCAAAGTCTATCTTCTACATGCAGTGAGGTTTAAAATGCAACTGTGTAATAAAAAAATATAAAAATGTGGAATTGTACTATGTAAGATTTTCAGTTCTATGATTTAGACTTTATTAGATTTATTTATTCAGGAGCTAGAACTTTTTCGAGAAATCGTGTATCGTAGAATTCGTGATGAAAAAAAAACAAGACATTCGTTAAATGAGGGTGGTTTGCAATCTGATGATCAGTGTCTTGACAGCATTGGTTTTCGTAAGCTTAATTTTCAAATTGAAAAACTCATTGTTCGAAGTTATTACGGTTTAATTATTCGTAATCTATGTTTGATCTTAAATATGTAAATTGTGCAGTGGTGTTTTTTAAATATAGCAAGTTTTTCTGTTTAATTTTCAGCTGTTTTTCATCACGATTCAGAAAACGACACTAGAGCATCAAATTCGCAGTCTGAAGAGCCTACAAAAAATTCCAGTGGTGGACTGTATACTTGGTTAAGTAACTGGATGTATGGTCCGCAGAAAATTTCTCATGATAGTTCAGGCATTCATTTACTGTCATGTGAATGTTTAGATAAGAAAATTTGCTGACAGCTCACAATTTTTTCATTCATTTCCCTGTACTTGAAACATTTTTTTGTTCAATTCCGACAAAATCTAGGTAATGAGCAGAAAAGAAGAGTAAATCAAATCTGTACTAGGAATATTTTACAGAATCAAAAGCAAAAAAGCAGGAAGATGATGAAGAAATATTAAAATTTTCACTTAATGAAAAGGAAAACTTATCGACAGATCTCACCTTGGTAGAAAAACAAGTAGGCAGTTTCGTCTTCATTATTTTTGAAGGTGTTTCCGGTGTGCAGTTAATCCTTGTTTTCGTTTTCGAAAGTTTGACGATTTTATGAAAGGGAATAAGGTAGAACTACTTGTAATCTTGCAGGTGGAAGATGAAATTCTTGATGTATTAAACGATAGTCAAGATGATTCAGCTGTTTTATATCGTGATACTCTTTTAGCAGAAATCAAAATGAAGATTGGAAAAGGGACAGTACGCTTCATCGATGACTCTGAGGTAATTTCATAATGACTTTTGAAACCTGCTTGATTTTGAATGTCATTTCTGTTCATGTCTGATAATTCGGTTGTCTTAATTTTCTGCTCGTGTTAGTAATAAATAATAGTGCTTATCCAAGTATTTAATGTTTAAAATTGCTGAATAGAATGAAAGGAAAATCATGCTAATATTTTATGACTAAAAATTGAACTAACGCAGAGTCAAAAAAGTTATTGAATGCACAGGTAATAGCTATGGATCTATGGCATTTGGCAAGTTCCGTGCGTTTAAGTCCACGTTGTCATGTTGCTGCTGTTTCTCTTAGTGTTACTGATATGAGCTTACAAAGACTGCGCAATTTTTCAGAAGTTGATAAAACTGCTGAAAATACCCAGAATGGTCAGTATATCTTTTTGTCTCTATATATTATTGTTGAGGCAAGGATTTAATTCTTATTCAGCATGTTAGTTATAAATCTTTTTTTAAAGATAAAGTCAACAAAGATGGAAATGAGTCGCTTATGTTTGGATTTGGAGAAAGCAAAAATTCCACTCAAATTTTATTTGCGATTGGAAAAGCCGGAAAAATCAGTGATTCAAATTCTTTCAGTGATTTAGAAAGGAAAGAGTTAGACACATTATTTCGGTATGTTTTTTTTGGCTAAAAATTTCTAAACCCTTCAATTTGATCAACTACATTTCTTAAAATTTTGATTTTCTGTACGGAATATTAGATCTGATATCAAGAGTTGTAAGATGAACTAATTCTTCTTTTTTGATAATTATGTTACCCTAGAGTGTTTTCATTTCATTTTCAGTACTGTTAATGAATAATCTGATGATATAGGTCACGAAAATAAATACAATAGGGAAAAGTAAGCAGCATTATTCATATAGTATATCTGAAGAGGTTTACTGGTAACTATTGTACGATAGTTATTAACTGCGTATTTCATTTTAATTTTGTATATTTTTTACTTTGTATGGCAACAATACAAGATAGTTACTGGTTGTTCTGCAGTCGTTGCCAAAATCTTTCAATGTGAATTTAAAGCATTGATGTGCCAGATCAGTAAACTGTTTCGGTTAAGCAAGTCTCATTACAGAATGGTGTATCGTCGTTGTGTTTCGAAAATGGTAGTAACACATACATTAAGTGCAAGATGCGATAAGTTATCGATACTTTGCAATGAAGATGCATTCGATGATTTAACTATTTTTTGGAATGAAAAAGACAATGAAAAATGGGTATGTGAGCAATTTTGTTTGTATATAAAATTGTCATTTGTGTTTCGATACTTTTTATGTCTGCAGAACATTCAGATTTGGGTATATAAATAGGTTACCAGTTTTCTCAATTACAGGCGGAGAATTCGAATTTTATGCAATCGCAAGTAATCAGTGTTATTGATTTTGGTGTGCATTGCCCTCAGGTATTACTTATGGGTTTATCCTTGAAATTATTTTGATTATGAGTCAAAAACAATAGCAATATTTATTTGAAAGCAATAAAGCTAGTTCCTTTGAACATTCTCTTTACTAGTAATGTATTTATTTTCAAAATTGAATTCGTACTTATACATCTCCATCGATTCCAGAATTATAAAAATCTGCAGAATAGTTTGATTGACCTATCAAAATAAGCAATATAAGGGTTTTTAATATGTACGAATTCATTAGTGGTTTTGAAGCGGAGATATATGCATTTTATCGGACATTTTGAAAAGAGATTGTTTTACTCCACTTCTTTTAATGTGTGAGCAACTTTTGTAATTTACAGCTAAATATTGAATTGCGTAGTAAACGTGCCGACTTACTGAAACAGAAAAGTAAGTCTGCAACATCGACTCCATTCGCACTTCTAGACGTAAAGAATATTGCAGTCGGAGTTTCAAATCGAGAAAAATTCAACACAAGAGTATTGATTCATAAACATGAATGATTTTTTGTAGTTAAAAGATTTATAGTTTATAAGAAATTAAAAAAGAATATATCTTTTTTTTCTCAATGTGTATTTTTTTCATTACAATCGCTCATTCGCTTTTAGATTGATGTTGCCTTCAGTTCCTTGGAAATTAAAGATTTATTTGAACCAACAAATGACTTACTGCTGTGCATTAAAAAGCATCTCTCGTCTTTCAAGGTTTCGGTTTAGCAATTGCATGTATAATTAATAATAATTGATGATTTATTTATTTGTTGACATTTATCTATATTTATTTTGCATCCTCCATTTATTTCTACCTAACTTTTGTTTACTTATTTGTTTATTTACTTACTATTAATAATTAATTGATTGTTTACAAGATCACAACATCGGATCGTTCTTGCTGTTGTGGCCTGTAGTCAATTGCTTTGGTTTTTAGATATTTCATGGAAAATATTTTTTTCAGGAACAGCTGTCTACCTCATGTCCAAGTTTAAATGAAGATATCTGTTCATTGGAATCGCGCTCTTTCTGTCAACGTGCTCGTGGATATAGTAAATTTTTGCTTTATAAGAAATGTTCAGAATTATTACAAGCAATTTATTCATATTTGCATATGAATAAAAAATTTTGAGGCGTGGGATCATCCCCAATAGCATTTGGTTTGAAAAAAGATGAATTCCTGAATCGTACTTCTCAAACTGATCTTTACAAATGGTATAGAAGTATTGATCATCATGCAGACTGTGACGGTGAATCTCATTTTTCGTTTTCTTTCGCTATGAAAGAGCACTCTTTGTTAGAATCATGTAAGAAAGTGAGTACTTTTATTTCTTTTTTGCTTTAGTTTTATTAGATGCAAAATTTTTTACTATTTATTTTTATGATTTGTTTTATCCAAAAATAAAATTAGATGATGTTTAAATTCACTGATACAAAGTGTAAGATTAACATTCAAGTTCAACAAATGAATCGTGGAAAAGTTCATAAGTTGATTCATTCGCTGTAAGTCTTCAAATATAATGTCAAAATTGTTTCGCGGAATATTTTGATTTTTAATTGATTGGTTTAATCTCTATGGCATGATGTCACAGATAAGTTGTTCAATCAATGTCGGTTTACCATCCGTTGAAATATGTATGAATCGACGAAGTTACACAATGCTGATAGACTTTTTGGGTTATTTGGAGCCAAAGGTGAAGCTGTTACAAGATAACATAGGAGTTCCGTTGCATTCTTCTCGAAGTGAAACAAATATAGCTTTGCAGTGTCTAGGTCAGTTCTAAATTCTGGTAGCATCACTATCTTATTTTTTTCATTCTGTTTGTAGTTAACTGAATTTCAGACTGGTGTGTTTGGTGACACACCAATTTGGAATCTTCAGCTATCACTATTAAAGCTTCAGGAGAGTAATTCAGTTTACAAATAGGATTAAGATTCATTTTTTTATGTATGTGTTGAAGAGTAAATGACGTGTGTAATGACACTGGCACTTTAAAAATTTATATCTTTCTGAATTCCTAGTGTTTTTCAGGATTATAAAAATAAAATTCCTCAAAATGCGAAACAAACAACAGTATCGCATTTAAGTTTTGATTTTTTTACAGAGCCATATAACATGAGTTTAAATATTCATGTTAGTTTGCTCCAAATATGGATGAATTATCCGAAAAATAAATCTTCTTTGGGTGTGCTTAAAGGCGAGGACGTGTATTTAAGTGCACAGGTAATTGTAAAAAAGTACCTCTATGTTTGGCATTTTTCGAATGTTTTCATCATCTTCAGGTTTTATGCTTTGCTAAAAATCTTTACTTGACCACAACCGTTTATTTTTGATTTGGAATTAGGCGACATTCTATCAAAGCATTAAAGAACTATATACTAAATAATATTCCAAAAATTCATGAATATTACATATTACATGATACCAACCATCACTTTTTATGCTTTTCTCATCGTTAATTATAAGTCTTCTCCTTTTGCAAATTAATAAATAAATTAGATGTTCGAAATTAAAATAATATACTGTACTCTGCATAAATTTAGCGTAATCTGTTACATTTATAGGCTAAAATTTACGATGAAGAAACACCACTAGTAATACTGCTGTCACTTCTAAATTGTTCGCTGTCAGATAATACACCTTTCTATTCTGAACTATATAACGAACGTCTTTGTTTGAGAAATTTGTCGACTGATAATGATTCTACGCCAGGAAAAAGTTGTGGGTGGGAAAATCAACACCGTTTTCCATCTCGAGCAACTCTCGAAATCACAAAGTATTTTGCATATCATGTGTATATATTAGAAGCAAAAATATTTTACGTTTAGTTTTTCTAGTATTCGATCACTGATTTCTTGTTCATTCTTCAGTAATTTTTGGAAATTCATGACATGAACAGATTTGATTCTGTAAACTTGAAAAGTCTCAAAAAGATGCTGGAAAATATGATTAATAAATGTCAGATCTGTAATATAACTGAAGAGATTGAAAACTTCAGGTATTTATGCGCAAAATCAGTTGCTGAAAAAGGACATGATATGAGCTTTGTATTGAAAGTACCGAAAGAGTTTTCTTTTGCTTATATTCATACAAATCGTTATTTATCTGCTCTACTTGATTTTTGGCAGCAATTTTTCGAACTAACCGATATTGTATATCGAACAAACGCTTGTGATATGAACATTCCGGTACATTTAATTAGTGTTGAAAAGTGGTACCAACTTTAGCTCCTAGAAATATCTGAAATTTTTAGAATGTTCACTGTTTAATATAGCACAGTGTTTGATTTTACTCTCGACTATATTTTTCTTCATTTCATGGTTTCCTTTATTTCACGAACAACTTTAATAAGATGTTTTAAGACCTATAGTGATGGGCGTAGCAAAATACAAATAACTTGTGAGGTCGAGTGTTCTTGTACTTTCATTCTTCCACTTAATCAACTATCTAATCAAGTACTGATTGGTGAAACTGCTAGTATTCGGATTGATAATAAGTTCCAATCATCTTCCACGATCCTTGATTTTCAAAATTTCGAAATTGGAAATTTTTTCGGTTCGATAACTGTTCCTCATAATTTGCATTCGCTTTATATGAGCATGCAGTTTTTAGAATAGATGTTCGCATATTATTTTATCCGCAGCATAAAATTTGTTGCCACTATGGCATGAAAAGTTATATCGTGCTTACCATGGAAATGACTTCAAACTTATTTTATGATTTGTGAGACTGCGATTTAATTCAGCGACATTTAGATGATAATGATCATGATTGTTTTGTCAATTGGTTGCAGTTTTATTGCTCTAAAACATTATTCTATGATGCTGTACGGACACCAAACACTAAAGTTGCTATCCGCGATGTCACAGGTAATTTTTTGATGATTGTCTATGATATCTGTCCCTCGCATGCACTCTAAAATTGAATTCAAATAATTGACGGAGTAGAAGTAACTGCGATAAGAAATTGTGAATATGAAATAGTGCGGTGAAAAGTGCATGCAGCTGATAACATTAGTCCTTCATATCACGCAATTGTTCAATTCTGATATCAGGTTGCGAAAGATTGTGCCGCGATATGTTTCAACAGTTTCATTTTTTGAGTTCTCGTAGGAATGTATTTTCAAAATCTTATGATTTGGTGGTAAACGCTTACTATAATTTGGATGTTGCCCTCTCTCATAATGGTATTTTTTCGATTTGATATAGACATCATTTTATTTAAGTAGAATAAACGAACCGCAAAATTCTCTTCGATGACGAAGTTTAGGACGTTTCATTGACGCAAATGCTAATGAAAACTTTTAGCAATGTTCAAAACTCTGTCTACAAATTTAATGGTCTTATTTGCTAGAAGTATCAAATACAATTTGTTTTTAGTTCCTGACTTGTCTATCACTACAACTCTTCAAAACCTTAATGTCAAAGTAACTACCGATTTTTATCGACTGCTGCGGGGTGTTTTGTCTATGAATCTAGGTGATCAACTTGGTTTGTCACTGGAGACAATCCCCATCGAACTTTTAGAGAAACCTACTGAAGTTGATGTAAGTTTTCGTTCACAGTTTTTTATCCTTATCTCGAAGTTTCCCTCTATTCTTTTTTTTCGGTGTTTTTCAGTGTCTCAATTTGCACTCATGGAAAATTTTGTGTGTCATGTTGCTTATTTATAGTTCAAGTCTGGAAGACTGGGAAATCTTATAATACAATCAAAATTGGAAATATTTTTTTAGAAGATTGTTGGAGCAGGCAACAAATACACTTCGTTTTCATTTCGCATGACGCTTACGAACGTTGAAGTGAGGACTTAAGTCTTGAACACAGAAATGTATGGATAATTGAAATAATTTTGGAAGCATTATTAAGCACTTTTGTTGTAGATTGACTGTTACATACCGTCCGAGAATCTTTTGCAAGGATTTACGCCTTTTGCTGGTATAAAATTGAATTCTTCACGTATATCATTTGATGTTTATATTGACAATCAGTCGGAATTGGATTTGATCTGTGAGAGCACAGAACTGATTGATACTCGTTTCATCGGTAAAGATTTAGTGCCTACTCTCTGAAAGATATATCGAAGAGTTCATTTCTTTAAATTAAATTTGTCATTGATTTTCAAATATCATGATGTTATTCTTTATGAGGCCATATTTTTTTGGGTGTCTGTGCTAATTTGATGGCTAAATTCAAAAATTTTATTCATATTTCTATTTGATGTAGTGAAAAAATAAGTCTTAGTCGTACAGAACTCAAATTATCTTCTTATCTCGTATTTATTTGTTTTGGCGTTATTTTTCTTTCAGATGTCCATCATAATGAGAGGCTGAATGTTTTTCATTCAATTCTTTTTCCATTACCTAAAGATTCAGACAAGTAAGTTTTATTTAATTTCAGTTACTATTTCTTAAAAGTAATACCTGCAGTGAGAAAACTTTATTAAGCTTAATATTTTACTAATGTCTTTCATTATGAAGTTTCATCGGAAGAATTCCGTTCTGTCGATTGCGGTTCATTTGAAAACAAAGTTACTAATTAAATGCTGTCCCATTTCAACTTTTAATCATTAATTGAATGAAATTCGTTTTCAGTGTAGTTATTTGTTGGCTTTCTGAGATTCTCAGTCTCCCTCCTCAAGATTTTATTGGGCTTTAAATTTTCACTGGAAATCAAATATTTGCATTTACTGCCTGCTTCCTATTCTCTTTACAGTTAATTTTACAGAAACAGTAAATTGATGTCTGAAGCTCATATAGTTTTCAAGAGCGATGAGGTGCCTATGATAACATTGGTTTTATTAAATGCACGAGTCCTCTTGTTTTTAGACTGGCTTATTGATATGAAAAATTTTATCCTTCTCAATGCCGACTTCATACCTCCAGGTTGTGGAGACCTTTTCATTTTTTCGCAAAATTTTTGGTTTGTAACACCAGGCTAAACAACATCATTCAAAACTCGAATTATAAAACCTTAATGTCAGTATTTATAGTTGAAGAAGAATATCGATGTGTTACGCAGTCTACGAAGTTAGGAATTGTGCACCGGAATCCATCTAATAGAGGATCTATAGAGAAAACATTTTCATTAAAAATTACATTGAAAGAGTGTGACTTGATATTGCTTGAAGATCCAAGATGTGCACAAAGTCTGGCTCTTGTTGCTCATGCCACTGCTGTTTTGTATATGAACGATATACATGGACAGTTAAACGGAGATTTGGAAGTGCAAGTAAGTAAATGAAAATTGGCGATGTTGTATCACTCACTTGCATTAATTGGTGGAATTCTCACTTGTATGAGGAAATACATTATGATAGCTTTAAAATGTTATAGAATAGGAACCTAGTTTACATTGGATAATGCTAGACCCTTACCGCATATTCATAGATAAATTTATTAATATTTCTGTTTACTCAAAGATGTATATTACAAAGTGAAGTTATTTAAAATAAAAGTATTTAATAATTATTCATATTTCAGTTCTTTAATTTCTTTTAGACATTTTTTTAAGCGCATAAATGTGGATTGGTTCGTAATGTCATCTGAGAAAGAAAGTAGGTGTCAATTGACGAACGATTTTTCGATGACTTTCAGCCTTAGAATGGAAGGTAATGTGGACTCAGATGAACTCCACTCGAGACTCGGGCTTTCGTCAGTTCTTTCTGTTAAACATCGGCTCACTGTAAGTTTTGATGGCTAAAATTTATTATTGCATATTCATAGGTAGAATTATTAATCTCTCTATGTGCTCAAAAATGTGTGTTGCAAAAAGTATTATTAAAATAGCGATGTTCAAATAGATATCTAGCTGAGTAGTAGAAATTACCTGCATGTTTCTAGTCACTTCATTGAGATAAAATGGTTTGACTTAAACTGGTTGTTATGAAGCACGTATTCATAAACCAAGGCAAAATATATGCGGTCAACGAAAACGGTAAAAGTATATATGGATGTAAAGTGACAGAAAGCTCTACTAACACTATCATTAAACAAACAAGATATGAAGCATATAATTAGAAAAGTTTTACCTATGACTTTTGATCAAACTCGTTTGTTTTGTCATTTCTCAATATCGAACACTATTTTGAAGGAATGTCGATCATAATATGTCGTATTTAATCTTTTGTTGCTTTTACTTTTTTCTCCTTCATCACATAAGCTAGTTTGAAACTTCGATCTGTCTTCACAGAATTGTTGTTTTAAAGGCCGAAGTCAATGATTTGATTGCTCGAATTTCATACAGAGATTTCTGTGTTATACGGAATGTTCTTTTTTGGTCGTTTAAAAAGTGGATGAAATCAGCTGAGAATAGTATTATTCGAGGATCTCGGGAAAATGTGGAAAGTGAATTTCAACTGCATTAAAAGTTTTTTCATCCTTCTTAATGCAGACATAATTGAAGTCTATTATCAAAATTTAAATTCCCTTCATTTACAGAAAACATTGATATTGTTCACTTGATTATAAAAAGCAACCATATTTCATTTTGGATGTTGGACGATCATTTAGGAGCAGCATTTCCGCTTATTAGATGTAAATTCAAAAGTTAGTTTCATTCTTTGCAAATGTTTTAATTTTTTTTACATTAAAAATTCAGGTTTAAAATTCGTTTTCTGCTAGAAAATTTGTGGTTTCTAAATTTTAGATCGTGCAAAAATGTTTAAGATGAAAAAGCATATATTTATATCATTTCTAACTTTTTGATGGTCGCTTTCTGTATAGACAGACTTTTGCAGAATTTTGTTTCGATCGCTATCTGACGAACACTGATGGTTCATTTATATTTGCTGCAGACTATTTTAATCAGAATCTTTTTGGTTGGGAACCGTTAATTGAAGACTGGTATTTGAAGCAACTCTCTGTGGTTGCGAAGGATAATGCTCTCAGTATCGATTTGCTTGCTGGTGAATGTCATTATTTAACTCTCTTTTCACTTTTTCTTAGAGATGATAGCTTGATTATAAAAAAATCATGATCATTCATAGACAGTTGTGTTTCACTCTTAAAGTTTTTGTTTTGTTCAATTATTCATCTGTATCTTTCCATTTGAAATTCGAAACTAGTAGACTTAATTTTGACACTAATGAGATCTACGTAGTACTACTCATTTTTCCTAGTAATTATTTTTTTAAACAATTTTTGAAGCATCAAGTGTTCGTTTCTAGTGTCTTTTTTAACGGTCGTTTATTGTAGAGGAGCGCAGCACTCTTAATTTCAACATCACTCAAGTTTTCTTGCATCAAGCTTTGCAGTTTAGTTCTCAATTTTATGAAACTAAGCACCTTCTAGACCAAGATTTTTGGTGAGTCCAAAGTTTAGCTAAATATTTTATTATTTTTGAAAAATTTGGTATATAATAGAGTATCATTAGCACAAATTTGTGTTATGCTGCAATATTGCGGAACACTTCTGTATTATCCAGTATCACTCTTTCGCATTTGCTGCATTGTTTAAAAGAATGCTGATTAATCAAAGTTCTTATTACATTAGACTGTAAATTCATCCGAGATAGCAAAATCATCGTGAATTTCAGTAGTATGTCTGTCCGTTCAAGATCAGACCATCTTCCGTATATCTTATATAACGAGACCGGTTCTCATCTACGTTTTACAACTGCCGTTGATGAAATTATGCTGGCTCGATCTGCGCAAAGGCAATTTACAGTTAAATGGTACCAAACGGCTCCTGATGCGTCAACTACTTTCGAATTTCCAGTCAAACGGCTTACTATTGCAGTTTGTCTTCGTTATTGGACATATCCTTCATTTATAAAATGATAAACTGTAAAAGTCAAATTTTGTAGGAAGATTCAGAAGAAATCAGAAAACTCATAGTTCGTGTTGACGGCTGGGATGAAGTATCTCCTGTTAATGTAGATGCAGTTGGCACATATTTCCGGCTGGCCAGATACTCTAATTCTAGATCCGTTAGTGTAAGTTAATTCAGAAGTTTGGAAGTTTTTGGACTATAATATTACATTATATTCTACTTTAAAGGTCAAAGTATTGTTTTTAGAGCAGTTGCGGAATGAATGTTCGTTTGGTAATTGCTGTTACAATGGACAACAATGGTCGAAAAGTGGTAACAATACGCTCGGCTCTAACCCTTGTTAATCATCTGCACGATCCTATTTTGCTGATTCTTACTTCCGGAAGTTTGAAAAGTCCAGGTTATAGATAGCTTCTGGAAGTTTAATTTGTTATATTTTTGTAATCTTGCTGTTGTCGTAACTCCTCAATAATACAAATAGTTTTATTCAAGAAACAAAAATAATTCGAGTTGATCCAAAGAAAACATTGCAAGTGCCTCTCAGGTTTGCTAATGCTATGATGGCTGTGAAACCCGATGGTTGGAGTGGTGCCAGGGCTCATGAGGTATTTTGAAAATGCTTGCATTTCTTCACTGTTCAACTTAAACTATTGTCAAGAAAAAAGGAAGATTGATGACCTTGTCTGCAGCTGTTTTTGAGTCATATTTGCATCTTTTCTACATCTTTTTGTCCATCTTGTAGAGGCTTTAAAAAATTTTTTCTACTGAAATTTTAGTTAGAATTTCGATTACAGGTAAAATGGCAAGAAGCTAAAGTCGCAGGAGAAAGAGTGAACAAATTATTAAAGTTTGACATGTGTTACTGGTAATTTATTAATTTTCGATGCTATGTTAAGGATGCAAGAATTCCTTAAAAAATTTCATTTCGTTTTTACAGGATATGTGTATCAATAAAACGAGAACATTATCCCGAGTACGAAACACTGTCCGGACATACAATTAGTTTTGCATCTCCCCTCTCAGTTCTGAATTTGTTACCAGTTGATGCAGAACTCCAAATTGCTGGAAGAAGATATGCTGTTTCTGCCAGTAAACAAATACAAATTACATCTGTAAGTTTTTTGTTTGTCTCAACATATTTATTCATTCTTTAATAAGCATAGTAACTGAGCGCTTTCTTTTCAGTATGGAAGAACTTAGTCGTTAGTGAAAATTCAAATTATATTGCTGTCATGCTAATGCAAATTAAATTTGTGGCTAGTAAATTCGAAAAAAAAATTAAAAGTCGTATTTGCATAGTGAGGGACAGAGAGAAATAATAGTTTTTACTCTCTTGCAGGTTGACCTTAACAAAAATATCAACTTTGAAGTTTTCACCGATCGTTTTGTTTCAGTTGGGGAATTCACGATCTTGAGGTCAGCAGGCTTATTTAAATACTGAAAATTTGCTTTTATCTTTTAGATCATTCACTTTAAAGAATCTTATGACTTCAGTAAATTTCGTTTTCTTTTCATAAAATAGTTCCCGAGATTTCAAAGAAATTTATCAGTTTTGTATATTTTTCTAGATCTCTACTAGTACAAAAGTCAGGCGATATTGACCGCATACATTTACGTATGCAAGATTCGAAAAAGCGATGTTTGGATATGTATTGTAGTTTAAACATAGGATGTGGCGGGACTGTTTTGCTTGCATTATGGGTGAATTTTATTTATAATTTGTATTTTATTTTATGTTAGCTAGAATAATTATACTATATATTTTTGATGTCACTATTTCACGATCACTTCTTTAATTTATAATATGCGATCATCTCATCTCCCTTTCAGAATAAGGGCTAAGATTTGCTGTTTTCTATAGGTACCTTATTGGATCGTCAATAAATCCGGTGTGCCACTAATTATTAAGCAAGAAGCTACAACAGGCGTAGCTGCTGGACAGATGGAAGAGCATGAAAAAGCAAAAGATCGAAATCCATTGATGTTCTCTTTTGCGAACGAGAATTGTCCTAAGCAGTTTGTTTATGTTGAATGTGAAATTGCAGTTTTTACTTTATAGTCACTTATTTTCGACCTTCATAAGACTTGCATTAATGTTTAACCTTGTAAATATTTGTTGTTTCAGATGCACCTTGAGGGTGGGCCAGAATCACGAAAGTGATAAAGGCTATAAGCCGTTGTTTGGACCGAAGTTTCCATTAACAGTTGGACTGCATTCTATGAAACTGCGTTTAATTCATAATCAAAAACCAGCTCGGTCCGGTTTTTTTTCACATATAACATTGTCAAAGGAATCATAAAGCATTTTTTCATGTAAATAAATGTGGGGTCTATTATTGATTTTAAAATTTTCAGAATTTACAATATTGGTGTTGAAGTCAGACAAGGTACTGGAAGGTATAAAGACACTCAAGTCGTCATGCTTACTCCGCGTTATGTACTCGACAATCAAACTTCATTTGGACTTTCGCTTAGTAATATTAGTGGCATTGATGTATGTTGGCTTAAATGCAGTCTAAAATAACCAGTTTTGCAGTAAAATTCAACAAAAAAATTTTTTCAGTCGAAGTTATATATGATGAAGTTCAAAAAGCTAGTAAATGTGCTTTTGATTTTCCTCAAAATTTTGCACTTTGAAATAACTTTGTTAAATTTAGTTTTCATGGAATGGGATGAATTTTCAGCAGTTTGTTTTAGGAACCAGATCAGCATGTTAAAATACCCAGTAAATCCAGTCTTATTTGGAATGAGAATTTTGAAGATACTCGGATGGTATGCGTTAAACGTGATGATGTCAAATATTGGAGTTGTCCAATTCGAATCGACCTCATCAGTTCTTTTCACGTCACAATGAGGTTTCCGATTTCTCTGTCGATAACAGAACACATTTAAAAATTATACGTTGGATTGTATTTCATGTAGTGGTAAGACTGTGCCCATACCAATAGTTTTTCTTGTATTTGGAGGTATAAAAGTCCACACCTTTATTTTTATTTTTCTGTAAAAAAGTAAAAAAGGTTAATTGATATTGATTCACCATGACAGATTTACTGTAGAGATTGTCTTAAAAAATGATTGTAAAATGGTCTTGAAACGTTAAATGGTATATTTTATTTTGTGATTCAAAATTTTTTTGATTACAACTATAAACAAAAAACTTCCATTTGTATCTTTATTCGCCTAACTGAATTCATTCTGTTCCATTCTTAACCTTTTAAAGGGATGTCGATGAAACACCACAATTTTTAAGAGTAGAAGTCTTACTTAGTAGTGCTATATTCTATGTAACTTTCACGGATGTTCATCTATATCCACCTCCAATTCAACTGCAAAATCTCTCGGACGTTCCAGTGCTTTATCAGCAGAAAATTGACTGGTTATTTTACAGCAAACCAATTTTTTTTTGACCAAATATTAGTCTATGTTCTTCTAAAAAATTGTTTCATTTTCTCTGCCAAATTTCCATTTTCTATCTGGTTTTCATTCTGTTAAAGGAAGTCTTTATTTTGTAGGCCTCAGAGCTCGCACTTACGTACGATATGTAAAGCACGAAGCACCGTAGATTATGCTTGGGATGATCACTATGCTCCGAAATTATTGATTCTTCAAGTATTCGAAAATAAATCCAATTGCTATGATCCACAAAAACCGGGGATGGGACCACCTTTGGTGTACACTAACGATATATTCATAAAATATGCTCATTCTTTCGAAAGGTATTTTTCCCATAAATTTTTGTATTTTTCTAGTTTTGAATCAACATCCTTTACTTTTGCATTCACTTGAACTGTAACGGTGGCACGCTTTACGGTAGCTGATATTTTATTCATTGTATCACTTCTAAAATTTCTTAAGTATCGCATGAATCTCAAATTTTTATGTGTATATTCGTTTTTTATTTTCATTTCACCCCAGTTTTTTAAAATTTCATTCTACTTTTTTTCATCTTGATTATAATGTCTAAAAAAGGAAAAACTTTTCAGAAAAGTAAATGATGGATATACAGACGAAATTGAGTTGACATTAGAAGTGATGAGTAGAGGAAAGGTTATACTCAATAAACTTAATCCTAGCGGAACTAGCAGTAATCAGTTGTGGCGTTTTGCTCAAGATGGTTGTCTGGAAAATATTGGAATGAATAATCGTGCAAAACCTGGACAGCGTTATGTTCTTGATGTTTTGGAAAATGATGGGTTTGTTCTGATGATGCTGAAGCGAAATTCTGGTAGAAATTTATTTCAGAAATGGCGCTTGACCCAGGTGTATTTTATCTTCGTTTCATTTTTAGGTCTGAAATTCGAAAGTATAATTTTTTTAAATCTGTATTTAAAAATTTCAGGGTAATCAGTTGCGTTGTTTAGTAGAAGGAATGTTTGTTGAGGCACGCAAGGCAGATGTAGTGCTTGCTGCTCCAAACAAAAAATCAACGCTGAATGCAGCAGGAATTCCTATTGAGCAAGTATGGGAGTTGCAGTCACAGCGTCCTGGAAGCGGTGTTTTAGATGTAGAATGTTTGCATAAAGGACCTACTTTGGTATTTAGTCTTTTGTTTAATTTTTTCCTTTTAATCATTTAATTTCTTAGTCTTGGAGAATTTATGTAATTTTACTATTCAGTTTTTGTTCAAATAAGATGTACTTGGTCTGTAGACCATTCTGACATATTCATTTTTACTAAATTGTGAATATGAGTGGAACATTTGCATAGTATTGTTTATTGTTCGAGTGGTTAATGCCAGTAGTTTGAAGGTGGTTCGTATAACTGATCGGGCAAGGCTTCATAATTCAGTAAAAGAACATTGTGATCAGACATATTATTTGAAGTCTCTTTCTGTACATTCAAATGCAAATATGAATAGTGGATGTAATTTTGATCTGAACATTTCAATGCGGAATGGTAGATTTAATTGAATTTTTGATTTTGATATTTGTAAATATTTTTCTAGAATTGCTTTAAACTTTCAGTCATTTAGATGAAGTACATTTTATGTCTAACCAGTATCATGAAATTTACTTTAAACTTTTGTCACATGAAGAAATAGGAATTAATTAATTGAACGGTTCTCAGTGTTTAAAAAATTCTTACGTTAATTTCACAGTAATATTGGCTTTTATGATAGAACTTTTCGAAATTTTGGTTTAAAGAATATATTTTGGATTTTTCTGTAGCTATAGTTCCTTTTTTCTTGTTTTTTTTTTTTTTTTTTTTTTTGACAGAAGAAGGATTAAAGCACATCATAAGTCATAAACGTTTATAAATGAGTTGAGATTTTTAAGGTATTGGGTTATCTTTCATCAATGGCCTACACGAAGAATTGATATATGCTAGGTTCCAAGGAATAGTATTGCATATAAATCGACAGAGCTCCACATATCAAGTTACTGGTAGCGTTGAAGTAATTCAGGTGCCTCATGTTATAATTTGATCTGAAAGATTAAGATTTATATGATTGAGTATTTTTGTACTTGTAAGCATTAGCACGCATCACTTTAATACTTTCTACATCTGCATCAAGTCATTTACTAGGCTGATAATCAGTTGCTATCAACCGACCGATGGCAAGTTTTATTCTGTCAGCAAGATGCAGTTAATTATGAATCAGGTTTTGTTGAATCACCAGTTCTTATTCCTGCTCTTAAATTGGAAATGAACTGCACACCGTTAAAACATTACGATGCTTTTGACGTATGTTGCAGTTTTTGTCATTGACTTCTAATAATGTAATTGGAAAGCACTGTGCTTCAATTCAACTTTATTTTAGAATAGATTCTAAATTTCGAGGCTTAAATTGTAGAAACGAGAAATTTTTTGGTAAAAAATGTGTAAAAATATTCGTTACTTAACATTCTACAAATAAATTTTAGTGCTTCCGTTTGAAATTATGTGATTTATCAGTACAACTTGATGAGACATTATTGTGGAAAATTGTGCAGTTTGTTCAAAGTATGTTTTTTAAGCTCGGTCATTCGTACTTTTTTCATTTCACCTTTCAGTTAGCATTTTACTTTCCTCACTTTCGAATGAAATTAGAGATAAAGTAAATTCATCCAATTATATATGTAAATGAATTTTTAATTCAATCAAGTATTAATACTTGGGAAATTTACTGCAGAAAGCGAAGCAGCAGAAAGTATGAAACCTGATGTATTATCTCAACCACCAAATACAGAACTTGACAAACTAGACCGAGTGCAAGCACGTCGTTGTTACTTTGGGACATTAGAATTAGAAATTGGTGCTGTAGCGCTTTCAGGTTGTTGATGGTTCTAAACATTTCCTAGCTTATATTCTTAATATTGCAGCATTACTTTGTCTTCAGTATTAACCGTTTCGGGATCTGGCTTGTCCCCTGAATTGAGGAAACTCAAACAACATTTCAATATAAAACTGGTTAGTTTTGAAAATGCAACGATCTCACTGACACCATTTCGACAGTATCGATATTTCGAAACATTCTCTTTTTTGATTGAAACACTCAGCAAATTCTATCTTGGTTAGTTTCTAATTATCTTGGTAAATTTCTTGGGCGGTCATTTTGAATCGGTTTAGGGCTTCATATTTTTTATTCTGCAAGCATATGCTTGTTTTGTTTTTGTAACACAAATTTTGTAATCAGAAGTAGTGCTTTATTTGAGTTGTCCAGGATTATGTTATATTTTAATTTAAAAATAAGTAGACTGAACCACGATTCTTACCAAAATCATTCAGAAAGTATGTTTCTGAGATTAAGCAAAAATATATCAACTTCAAATTGAAAGTAATGCAATTTCGATTTATAGAAGAACTGAAAAATCAGACATTCAACATTATTGTGACAATGGATGCTTTTGGCAATCCATTGGGTCTTGCTTCCAATTTGAAGGAAAGCTTCGAAGAATTATTGTTTGAAGGGAATTTAGGTGGCTTTGTCAGTGGTTTAGGATATGGTGTCACCAACAGTATTTCAAAGGTGTTGCCACATATTTTATAAATTATCACATTACAATTTGGTATAGGTCACATCAGATTCATGAAAATTCCATGAACTCTGTGGTTTTAATGGATTTGATCAACTTTTTTCAAAATTAATGATTAATTCTGGGTCATAAAGTAATATTTAATCCATCGCAGCCTTCTTGAAACATATATCGTCATATAGATTGTTGATCGCTATGATTTGTTGTAGGTGGCCTCATCAATGGCTACTGGTGTCGGAGCGTTAACATTTGATGAACGGCATGATCTCATGAGACGACGGATGTTACGTTGTCAACCGCAAGTGGATAGTAATACTGCACTTGCTCATTTATATTGTGGTGTAAAAGTTAGTGAGTTTGTTGTCAATTTGTGAGTAATAGGTTTTATTAAAGCAAATAGAAAGGTCACGAAACCCTCAGAAATCATTCTGAAAATTGCATCAAAAATTTTCACACTTACAGATTTTGTATTTTACGCAATTTTCACATAGTACAAATATGTTGATAATTGATTTCAGTTTTCAAATTGAAAACTTTTCGATAACCATGAGTTTTACTAACCATTTTAGTCTTTCGATAACAAAGTTAATCTTACTTTATAAAAGTACTTCTTCAGGGCTTAGGAGTGGGGGTTTTGGGTGGTTTAACTGCAATGATGACGAATGTATATAATGAAAGTCGCAAAGATGGTTTTACGGTGAGTTGGTTTTTCGATAAATTTTTTATTTTAAGATAGAATAAAGTTTTTAAAGATTAACTTTACAGTTAGTCATTGTTAGGTTACTCTTCATTATTATTTGTGAAGGAGGAAAAGTTGATGAATTCTATGATTTGATTCATTTCAGGGTGCTGTGCGTGGAATTACAACGGGAGCTGTAGATACGGTAACGAAACCTATGCAGGGAATTTTTGATTTGGTTGAAGGAACAGCTTCAGCTGTTAAAGAGATGGTTGGTGGTCCTTCAAGTGAGTTTCGTCGTCAAGTTTATGCTATTTTCTTTTAATTAAAGCGTAAATTTACCATACATTTTAGTTCTGCACTTTTTCATGTTTTTATCTTCCCAACTTTTTGCCGATTCATTTTTTATTTTTAAGCTAAGAAATCACATTTTCCTCCCCATCGTGTCCGATTACCACGAGTGACCATGAGTTTGCAATCGCTTTTGCCATGTTATTCTGAAGAACTTGCTTATGCGCAGTTAGAGCTTCTAAGAATTAATGGGTTTGCTACGAACGAAATGTGAGTGTTAGTAAGCAAAGATCTTAAAATTTTTGTTTTTGTACTTTAAATGTAAAAAATTGTGCTAGCAACTATGTTTAATCATATTTTTATACTTTTAGTATGTTTTTTTTAAATTTTCATTTTAAAGAATTGCAATTTTTAGGAATTGTTTCTTGATTTTTAGGTTACTAGATGTGGAAATGTTGTTGAATCAAGGAGTAGCTAAGGACAGAGTAAGGCAGTATGCATTGATTTGTTCAGAGCAGTGTTATATTGTCCGACAAATCAGTTTTGAGCCTAGTAGTGTAGTACAACGAATACCTTATAAACAATTAAAATTGATTCAGGCAGTGCCAGTTTCTGAAGAAAATGGCTTCGTTGGAACTATAGGTATGATTTGGGCATTATTATTTCTGTTCTGGTAGTGATTTTATAATAACCGTCAAACTTTTTTCAAAATTGGATGTTCTCTTAGTCTTGTTATCTGAAGAAACTCGTTATTGTCCGCAGATAAGTGTTCAGCTTCTTTTAATCATCATCTCAAGTTATTTTGTATTTTCCATTCAAAAGAAATAGTCATAGGATTTTGGTCAAATACTTGTGAACTCAGTCACATAAAGGATTTTTCACTTTTGTTTTGTTTGTTCACCATTAATATTAAAGTGCTGTTGAATTTTTTCTCCCTTATTCATGAAAATTCAGTGGTGTGATCTATAACGATTAAGTTTTTCTAATGTTAATTTTTCGCTTTAAAGTTGTGCAAATTTATTTTCGTGATTTTTGAGGTTTGGGAAAGTAAGATACATTTTTTTAGAAGTAATCATTGAGATTTCTTCTGGGCGGAAGCAGCGTTTACCTCATATTTGGTGTAGCCGTTTCGATGTAGCCAAAAAGCTTTGTGAAAAAGTCAGTCAAGCAAAGCAGTTGTATGATCATGGAAAAAGAACTTTAAACGTTGTGGATGAATTCGATGTCGTTTGATACATTCTCTTCAAAAGCTTTTGATCTGTTAGATATTATTTCAAGTAATTCATTAAGTAGTGCAGTATTTCCATTCTTAGCGCTGTGCCTATACTGATTATTTATTATCACTCCCTTCCTCTGTACATTCAGTTTAGTAACTACCAATTTTTAATATTCATTGTTTTTTCAGTGTTCACTTCTTTCTGATAGAATATAAGGAATAAAGAAGGCATATTTCAGTTTTTCATGGCAAACACTTTTTGGTTGTTAAGCAGTGAAAAATTTAAGCATTTAATGGAATTCCATCTCTGTGTGATTCAATAATAATATGATTAGGGTCTAATCGTGCCACACATATTAATCTCTGATTTGTAAATATCGATGGTACACTTGTTCATCATCTTTTTATAATTAATTGCTAGTATCTCAAATATGCTGAAAATTTTAATTTGAGCTTGTTAATCTGAATATCTCGGTTATAGAACGTTAATTATTTTTTAAATTTTTTGAAAAAAAGAAGATAAACCAGTCATTTTCTACACTTATGACTGAATAATAGGAAGCTAACAGAGCGTTTTGTCGTAAGCTTAGAATATTTTTGCAAAAAAGTCTTTGCAAGAATACAAAAGCATTTCTGTGCCTTTTTTTTAAACAGTTGTAACAGTGAATTCTTTCTTTTCATGCTGCACTTATCGGATACCGAAGTATTAAATACAGTTGTCTCACACATGCTCTTCTTGTTTTTGTTTGTAGATGTTTAGGCGTTCTTGATATAAGGTACTCTTTTCATAGATTGTTAGTGTATGCAAAATGTTAGAAAGTTTTAGTGTAATTTTAAAACCTACGATGGTTTGTTGCACATGTTAATTATTATTAGTTTTCTTTACAGTATTGAAAATATTTTTGTAAAGCAAAACATATGTGCATTAATTTGTAGGCTAAATCTGTTTATCACTGAGACTACCGATACTTCTGATATTTGAATTTGTTACGTGATTGAATTTGTATATTGCGATGTGTTGTACTATAAGAAATGATAGCAGTTAATATGTGCCTTCTCATAATAGTATTCATGTCTTATGGCTGGCAAGAGCATGTTCTTAGGGGTCGTTTGCCATTTCTATAGAACTTTAAAATCAGGTTTCATCTTATTTCAACTCTTGAAATGTTTTTAATTGTTGCATGAAGTATATATGGATCAGTTTGATTTGGATTTAGTCAAGTATTTTCTGCTAGTTTGCAATTAATAAGTTGTGATATTCTGATTTGATGAAATTTAGTAGTACGATTCCCAAAGATCATCTGCATTGATTTCGACAGGGAATAATAAATGGAGCAAAATATAAAAGTTTTGGGCTTTTAAGTGTGGTAGGTACACGAAAGTATGGTGAAGTTTCGGAATATAGCGTGGAACAAGCCTAACGAAGGATATGGAAAAGTTGCTTTTGCGGTATCGTTATTTTTCAGTTGCTGTTCTGCTGGTTCGCTTTTCCCAAGTCAATCTTTTTTTAATTTTCGTTAGTATATATTGTTCTTGATGTATGGATTGTACTAAGAATCTCGTACATGATTGTGTTTTGTTTAGTAAAATTATTTCGAAATTTTATAAAGTCGTTATATGTATATAGATATAGCAGGATTCCCGGAGAGCATCTGCATTTTATGTATAGGTAATTGACATGCATTTTATGTATAGGTAACGGTAATTTACTAATGTTTTGCAGCATTTATGCTTTGGACAGAAAAATATCAGAAGGAGCGTCGTCAGGCTGGTGTTAAAGAATATCTTCGGGAACTACAGCGCAAGCAGAATATGGCGAAATATGAGGAGCAAAAAAAACGTCTTGATGAAGATTAGATCACGATTCACTTTCACATATTTTGCTATGATCGAGTAATATCATTGTCGTTAATCGTTCTCATGTTGATGATAACAAATGACGTAGTAGTTTTTAGTCAGGCAAAAACGGATTATTTGCTTACTGTTTAGTAAAACATGATAATTCGTGTATGCGTAATTGGTTTTCTTTGTATTATTATATGAGAAATAAACTTGTAATTTTTTTTAAACTTGTTTCCGAATAATTTTTCAACAAGCTAATTAATTACTGTCCGGAACTACGGTATTTCCATTCTGCATACAATCAGTGAATTATTTGCTCAGTGTACAAATAAATGTAAGCTTGAAATAATGCTAATTAATCTGCTTATCCAATTAGAAACTCAAGTTTGAAAGGGAAAAATGCAACGGATAAGATGTTTTCAATCGGCAGAATATTCAACAAAATTTATTTCGACAGCAAGAAGTTCCATTATTCCAACGTTATTCAGATCACTAAATAAGTTAGTCATATTTTCTAAAATGTTCTTCAGTCTGGATCTTATTAAATTTTGGTTACTTTTCATTTATCTAGATTTTCAGCCAGATTCAGTTTTGGAGCGAAAATGTATGTTTAGTTTACTATTTTTTATTTAGTTTCTAACGTGGTTTTCATGTGTTTAGTAATTCCAAGCTGCATACAAAAAAGTGGAAAAAGGATGTAGTGTATCTATACCAGTTTGGTCGATCTAATTCGGCTCCTAATATTTCACCATTCTGTTTCAAAATCGAAACTTGGTTGCGAGCTAATGATTTAACGCATGAAGTAGGTCGAATCTTAGTTTAATGCACCTTTAAGAGCTTCGCCAGAAAATTGCTCTTGATTATTTCTTATTTTTTTGAACTATTTCGCGAAACTCTATTGCATTGGTTACGCTGTTGTAGTAAACGTAGAAATCTTCCATGTTTACAATTTCTATAAGTAAATACCAGTCTTATTTACAAGGACCTATATTGGTGATTTTATTCGGCAGTAATGCAGTATATTTTTTAGCTTTTCTGAAGTTTCATGAGTAAATATTGATTTCATAAAAATGTTTGGAGCTTAAAAACAGTTGGGATTTTCTGGCCTGGAAGAAATACTTACCAGCTATAGAGTTAAATGGGAATAGATTAGTCAATTCACAGATGATCATCGAGGAACTACAAAAGTACTTTGGCTTAAATGTAAGCGTCATTCTAATAAAATTTTGTTTTGAAGACAAGACGTTTTCAGAATAACAAGAAAACAGTATATTTTTTTGATAGATGAATCCATCAACTGTTTATTCATTAACTTTCTTTATGACAATTTTCATGGCTTTTTTTTCCATTTGCAAAAATTCTTACTGACAACTTTAGCAATTTTTTTCCAGTTTTAGGATGAGTTTGAAGAGGACGATCACATCGGCATAGCGCGAGCTGTTGATCGAATGATTGAATGCAATACCTATTAGTAAGCTTAAGTTCATATATATAAACTTTTTTGAAAGAATATGCTTGCTTTTGGAAATAACTGTTTTCACAGTAAAGTTTTCAGCTTACTGCTATATTTTATATTGGTGGAAAATTTATCGAAATTTCTGAAAGTGTTGCAACCATCTCCAGTAAATCGTTGGCTGATTCATAGTATGGGTAATAAGGTTACGTTTATACACTTCTTACAATCCTTTCAAATGCACTATGTGGGTATCGATGCTACTATAATTTTCTAGTCTGTAATTTTCTATTAATTTAGGTTCATCACATGTTTTCAAATATGGGTATCGTTCATCCTACGCGAAACGATATTATTAATATGCTAGTGAAAGATATAAAAGCAATTGATATTGTTTTAGGAGATAAAAAATTTTTGTTTGGTGCAAAGCCGACTACGGTATTTTTTAAAATAATTTTTTAACAGTACTTCAGACGGTTTTTGATTTGATGTTTCATATTCATAACTGCAAATTCTTTTAAACGCTAGTACTTTCTATTATTGTTAAAAAAAATAATATGCGTGTAACTCGCTAAAAATTTTACGAAATTCAGTTATTTTCCGTGATCTTTATTATTTCAATTTGTCTCATATGTTCTGAAATTGCATTTTTTTAAAGAAGTAATATAAATTAGTGCATTTTTTTTCAGCCACAGGTTGTTCTTTTTGGAATTTGTTTTAGTAATTAACTCATTTCACTTGCAGTTTAATGAAATAGTGGATGGAAAAGAACTTCCTATGTGAAATTTAATAGTAATGGTGCTAATTTTTGTAGCCCGATTTCACTGTTTTCGGACACTTGAGCGCGTCATATTATTTACCATTCCATCAACCAATAACTGATATTTTGGATGATGAATATCCACGAGTAAAAAGATTAATTGAACGAATGCGTCAACATTATTATCCTGAGTGGCAATTTAGTTCATAAACAATAACGACAATCGGAACATGTGTTGTATGAATATATCTTTTCTTGTAAGGTCTTGTCGCAAAATGCTAAGAAAACGAATTGCTTGAGTGATACATTAGTTTTGGAGAATTATGAGTTCTTATCATTTTTCTGTAAATCATCTCCAAGTACTAGATTTGTTATTTCTGTTTATATTAAATTATTTTTAATAGTATGACGTCGTTTAGAAAATATATAATTGTCTTTATTATTGTCCATGATTTATTATATACAGCAGTCGATCTTAACCTTAAAAATAATTTCTGATATGAATGAAGGAAAAAATTTTTTTCAACAATCGTTCAGTTTTTTTAATTCTATTTTCACTCAAATCAAAAATTTGTGGTTATTAATACTGTCTAAAAAGTCATTAAATCGACGTATAATTGTTTGACTTACATTTCTTTGATGAATAGAACTAGCAAATTCAGGCACTTTCATAAGAGCTGATTTTCATAAATAGTCAAGCTATGAAAGAAGCTTGATAATTTAGTTGTAGCGAGCATTTGAAATAACACGTTTACATCATTAAGGGAAAAACCAGAGGGAGGCTCGGTTATTGTAGTATTGAGTTAAAACTTTCATTTCTATATATATTTTCATTATGAGGATTAAGCATGTGTTTTGCTTGATATCTGTAGGTAGTTTCTGTTTTCAAGGCATTGTTGAAGATAATGGTTTTAAAACTAATGATTTGTTATAAATGTCTTGAAACCATAACTGTTTTACATTTATAAGGAAATAAATTACAAAATATATTATAAAATATTAGTTCTTTATTGCTACAGTTGAACGTAAAATCAAATTATGAAGCAGTTGGAAGAAAGCAAGCAAGTGGTCAACTTTATGATCTGACCATTTCAAGTTATATAGAGTTATGTACATATCCATTACTGTGGATTTGTGCTTATATCCATGTATTTATCGGGAAGCCATATGTTTACATTTAGAACAAGAATAAGGGTTGTTTTTATGGAGAGATATATTGAGCAAAACTACAAGAGATAAGTGAATACACCTATATCTCGCGTGCTCAATTTTGCAGTATGAGTTGATGATGCCGTTTTTACTGTTGTTGCATTGCTTGTTATTCTATTAATCCTTGTGTTTATTAACGCTGTAAAGATTAATTATTTATTTAAGTAAACATTATTTTTAAATTACTTTTAACTAATGCAACTGTTGAGATGCTAGTGTTTTTTTTTCGTTTCGTTTCAGTCTTTCGTCTTATAATTTCATTATAATTTGAATCAGTCTTGTATTATTCATTGACAGCAAAATTATGCAGTGAATGAATTGCAATAAATTTGCATTTCTTGCTTATTTATCTGCTTGCTTGTTTTTTTTTCTTCTTAATAACTTGCAATTAGATTATCTGTCTAATCACTGAAGAAGTCTTATTTTGATTCTTTAGTTTTTTCCATTGCTCATAACACTTTGTTATCACTTGCATTGCGTTTTATCGCTTTACCAAGTTTTTTATTTGAAATGGCAAAAAGTTTTGTTATTTTCAAAGTATTTAGTCCTTATTACTTCTTCATATCTTTTCATCTCCTTTTTCTTGCTAATTCTCACAATCTTTCTTTTCTATTTGCACTTGCCAATTTATTGTCCAAATAAATCCGCAATAAAAGATTGAAAATTCATTGAATTTAACGTTTTACAATAGCTTTTTTAATATTTGCTTAATGCATAACACATGCAGTACAATATTTGGAGATTAATGTAAAGAAAAGCAACTTTTTGCAGCGTGTAATGATTGGTCATTTATTTTTGTCAGGTGGTCAATAGCAAAAATTTTCTTGAAGTCCACATTTTCTTGGTCATTGCTTTGACATCATACTTTAGTTTTATACTTTAAAACTCAGATACATAATAATAGTGCATGCAAGAATTGTGAACAACTAATTCTTTTTTTCCACAAAATGCTTTGCTTATAATATTTCTTGAGATTACGTAAAGTGATTAGATTTCAGGTAGTAATTTTTTATGATCTCAGGCTGCATGAAACATTTTTGATTGCAAAAATTTAATCCACTCTCACGAATTAATTTCCAGTCGTTAAAGGTCAGTAGAATGGGAAATTTAAAAATGAAACAGTTGAAATTAGCACAATTTTTTAGTATTTTTTTTTTTGGTCACTTTCTTCTTTTTTGTTTTTTTAAATGATTAATTTTGTATTGTTTTTATAATTTGAATGCTTTATGTAACTACAGTTTGTAATTAAAGTTTTTGCATGCTATTAAATTTTCATTTCCTTTTTTTTTATAAACAATTTTTATTTTAAAGGTCGTTTAACTTGATTTTGGCTTCATATATTAGCTTTTGTTTATCATTCATCATTTTGTTAATACTAGTAAATCTTTACATAAATCTCAAATCAAGTTAAACAATCTTTAAAATAAAATAAATTAAAAAATAACATCGTAAGAGTAATAATCTTATGTTTTTGAAATACTTTGATCAACAATTTGTAATTTGTATCAAGTTTTTCTATTAAAATCATTGTTAGAAGTGATTATTATCATTATTATGCAGAAATTATTTTTCTCATGCATTGCTTTTTTGTTTTGTTTTTCGTTTTTTTTTTGTTTTTTGCTCAAATTTGCATAATTTAAAAAAAAAAAGCCATGAATATATTACAATTTTTACTAATTTAATTCGTTGTGTTTGATGAAAGATAACTAACTGCAAGAGGCATTTTGAAAAGTGAATTTAGATGACAGTTAAAGCAATTGTAAATTCCATTTAATGCTTTGTTCTTTTGCTAAGAAGCTTAAGCTAATTCATGTATTTTCTTTATTAATAGAAAGTACTTGTTCAATTCTAAGCATTTCATTGATGCATGCAAAAATGTGTTGTAACAAATTGATAAATAAAGTGCTTTTATGGTTCCCTTAAGTATGCTCCAAATAATAATAGAATTGTCTGGTTTGTTAATTAACACAGTAATTGAAAAGAGCATGGAGCACAAATAAATAAATAAATAAATAAATAAATACTTTTTTTATTGAATGTAAAAAAAATTGCTCTATAATTATCAACTATTTCGTGCTACTTTAAGGCAACCTCATCAATCAGATCCTAATTTTATCTAAATTCACATCTTTCGGCATTTTTCTCTATCATTGATTTGATTTCTGTGTAACATTGAATACTGTATTTATCACAATAAAAAATAAGCTATTTATGTTAATTAAAATATTAGTATTAAACAAAATTGAAATTATTTCTTTTTACACATATGTTTACAATATTTTTCTTTAGTTAATTTAACTTCAATGATTAAATTTGAACTTTTGCATTTTTGAATTAAAAATTTACTTTAATATTGTACTCATTTTGTTTAAACAAATTCTATCATATTCTGTATTACGCTTTTGAAAATGCTATTAAGCATTTAAAATGTGTACTGTCATGTACATTTTGTTATCAGTTGTATTCTTTTTTTGTGATATATTTTGATTCATTTGACATTTATCAGAGGGGAAATCAATGATTTTCATCACACTAAACATCTATTTTATCGCAATCTTTTTTATACATTTAAAAAAATATGCGAAGTAAACATTTTAATAAAGCCAAAATTTTCTTTGATAACATTTATTGAATTAGTACTGAATTGTTACTACTTTTTTCATCGCTGAAAGTGAATCAGTGCATCACATATTTAATATCAAATTTTAAGAATATTTTACATCGAAACTGTTAATTATTTTTGTAAAGCATCTGCAACTTTTGAACAATTTTCTTAATTTTTCTAGATTTTAAATATTATTTATTGGTATGTATAACTTTTGAAAATAATTCATTCAAAATTGTATTTATTCTTTTTTAGAATAATAATGCTTAAATAATATACTTTTATAAGTGAAAGAAAAAAAAGAAAACTATACTTTTATATAGAAATTTTAACGTTTGCTGTGTAAAAAAAAATATCTCAATGTCTTTTTAACAACAATTCTTTAATAAACTTTTTTGCATTATTAAGAAAATTTTGAATGTTAAAGAGAATTGTGATTAATCATATTTCTCATTTTTATTTCCATGCAAAGCGATTGTGAGGAAAGCGTGAGCAATTGTTCAGTTTAATATTTGCTCAGTTTATTGTATATAATGGATGTAAATTTTTGTGTTTTATCTAATTTAGTTTTTTTTTTTGTTGCACAGAACACATTTGACATTTCAGGAAGAATGTAGCAAACTTTTAATTTGAAATATACTCTTTAGAATTTAAAACTTCAAGCAAATTAAGAAGTAATTTTTATGAAATGATGTGAGTAGAGCTTTTTTGTTTACTTTGTCTTTTAAAATTAGTTTGAAAAAATGTGACGCATATCATCATTAAATTTTATGATATTAATTATTTAATCATTTTTTATTTGATTGAATTTTTTGAAATGCTTAACAAATGAGATATTAATGATGATAATTTTGATAATTAGGGCAATAAATTGCTTGTAATATAAATGAATGCAAGTAATCAGCGCTAATAGCGATGATAAAACAATTTGATTTAAATTTTATGATGGCAATAACAACAGGCGTAGTCGTTGTTAACAAGTGCTCAAAGTAAAAGAAAGGATTGAGACTTTTAAGTCTCAATCAACTAACTAAATAACTAACTAACTAACTAACTAACTCTTCACGGTAGCTACTAGCTAAAGCTGTTTTAATGAATTTCATTAATTACTTTGCCAGCAAAAGGAATGAACAAAAAAGATATGTACTTTTCAAAATTAAATTTGAAATATTGAGGAAGAGGAGGAGAAATGGAGAGATGAAAAAATATATTAATGAATACCCATTCGCTCCAACACCTGTATCAGTATTTTTCTAAAAACCATATTAGAGAAGTAAGCTTTAAATGTAGTGAGCAAGGTAGTAGATAAGATCAAATTATTTTTCATCAAATATATAACAAATAAGTGAATAACTCGATAAGCAAATAAATAAATTAAGTGAATAAATAATAGATAAATGATGCAATTTGCAATTGCAATGCGTAATTCGTATTTTACTGTTCATCCCGCTAGCACTTTTAAATTAAATTACAATTTTTACGCCTAAATCACATGTATGCATGCGTTAAATGCATTCCACTTTTTGGCCAATTCAATGATTGATTTGTCGTCAAATGCTATGTGGACATTGCTTTCTGAATTTTCTTCGCGTGTTGTCGGTCGTTTTCGCTTATAAAGGATATATACGAGCAAAAGAGATAGATAGATAGATAGATAGATAGATAGATAGATAGATAGATGAATAGACTGATTGACAATAGATTAAATAGATAAGATCAGATTAAACGTAAGTTTCCAGTTTAAGCTGGACGAAACAGCTTTTTGCTCTCCTTTTGCTTGTACTCAAAATAAATGCTAGCAAGGGCCACTGACATACCAAATGTTGGTATATTATATGCACTCATTACTTACAACCATTTATCTAAATATTCATATATCAATTTATTCAAACATGTTTTCATTTATTCATTCATCATTCATTCTATCTACCATTTGATCCATTTATCTGTCAATTTATCTAACCAATTATTTATCTGTCTTCTCATTATTCTTTAATAAATTTCATTTACACCTAAATATGCTGGGTGTACTATTCATTAACGCTAGCATTGATACATATATAATCTACGGCAAATACGCATGAATCCAGTCTCATCTTGTTTCTTTCTCCAAGAAGTATTACGTCCCACAAGTGTAAAATTGCATTTACGTTACTTGCGTCTTCATTAATTCATTACATTATTTTACTCTCTTAACTTGTATCTACTATTACTAGTAAAACTGCATAAAATCTACCATTTTTGTTCATACTTTATTGTATGAAGTTGCATTTGTGATTAAGTAAACTTAATTTGCTTAATGACATTATGAGTATTACTTCTTGCTGCAAGTTTATCAAATTTCAACAAATATTAGCTCTCAGTTCTTATATAAAAATGATTGCATTAATCAAGAGAATTATGCGAGGAAGAATAGTTTTAGTTACCGACATTCTCCTTTAACATTCTTAAGATTAAAACTGAGAAGCATAATTATTTGCTTCTCTTTGTAAAAGAAATGACTTGCTTAGATAAAAAAGGACTGCATTACTTAAAAAATTGACAAAAAATTAGTATTAAGATTGGCATTGATGATGTAGTGTAGGTAGTACAGTACAGTTTTTGCATAAATTCTTGCACGTATTATATGTCAATTATGGGTAAATTGCGCAGAATGAGACAACATATCTATCAAATATGTTAAGCTTTTAGCTTGAATTAATTTTAAATTTCTGAGAGATTTATTTTTGATTTACAAGATGCTGTGTTAATTTATATCAAAGTTATTTAATTCAAGTTGAAAATTACTTTGAATACGATATGTATAAAAGCTTTTCATTCAGTAAATAAATATATGCATGTCCCTCATGAATAATAAACAAACGAAAATGAATGCAGTACACTTCCAGTCTTTTTAAACACAAAGTATTGCAAATCAAAATTTGTTATTAATCTAAAGTTGATAATTGCTGTCAATGAATTTGTTCGTTATTTATATATAATGCACATATCACATATTGTCGTTCCATTTTGTGCTCTTTCATTTATTTCAATTTTGTTTTAACAAATGCTAACTAGCCCATTGCATTTAATAGCTCACTTTTTTAAGTTCATCAGATTTTAATTTGTTACAGGAAATGAATATTTTAATTTTATCTTTTTTATTCATTAAGAAATAAATTTTTGCATTTATTTAGACATGAAGTATCTTTTAAGTTAATTATTGTATGTAATCCTTACTGTAATATTAGTTGTAATATGAAAAATAATTGCTTCAAAATATAATGATATTAGCATTTCATTAATAAGTAGAAGTGCATTTTTGAAGTGATCGTTGGTTATTAAATTAAAGAAAAAAACTTTCGACTTGTTAACTTATTTTTGCTGTTAAAAATATTATTTTAAATGGCAAATAAGTAAGCGCTTTTGCTGCAAATTTATTGTTCTTTGAGATGATAATCCGTTTTATACTTTAAAATGCAACATCATTCATATGTAATTCATATTCACGGTTAATTACGTCTTGCGCGTGAAGTAATAATTTAAAACTATTTTTTATATATATATTTTTCATGTTAAATACCAGAGAAGTTGGTCTGCAAATAACTTAATTGAATGGTATCAGTTTGATAAATCATTTAATGTTCTTTTTTTTTTTAAATTTTTTTTGTATTTATTTTAGAAATCATCTGATAAATGCACGGTAATCGCTAATAAATATAACAGCTAAGAGAAATTGATGGCAGCGTCAATAACAATTGGTCATCCATCATTTTCAGCTTTTAAACCATATTTTCAACCATCGAAACAGACTGCAGAAAATAAAACAAGGTTACTACGATATTATTAGTTATAATCAGTTAATGATCTATATCAGTTGTTATAACTGTTTATTTTTATTGTTACTAACAAATAATTATAATTAATCCATACTATTATCATGATTAATTAATATATTACTCTCATTATGCTATAGATAGTTACATTTTAGTTGAGATTATTAATTACTTTAGTAAAATTTTTCTATTCATTACCAAATCAGTATTACTGCATATTTATGAATCTTACTGCTTTTAATTAATTTGTGAAATTATATTAGATTAGCTTTATAGTCTTTGTCAGAAATTTATTTTATGCTGTTTTAAACCTTAATTAATTTGTATAAATACGGAATTGAAAAATATGCAATATATGTTAAATAGTTTTTGCTTAGTTCTTGCATCTAATTATTTTCTCTAATAGCAAACACCTACCCTATCTCGGCAATTTATGTTCTGACATACTTTTTACATTCTACTAAATCAAACCCAAGTTATTTTTAATAATATCAACTAATTACTATTTCATTTATTGCACAATGATAAAATCTTTAGGGAAATCTTTTCATTCGTTAAAAATTAAATGCCAATTTTTCAAATAAATAAAAATAATGAAAAGAATTAAAGTTAAAACAGTAAAATTTATATTTATATATTTTTTCAATAATTTGAATAAATGCATTACATTCATTTTTATTAAACATTTATTTTGTTGCTTGTTGATTTTAAAAATTTAATTTTGACATCTTTGCTTGACAATGAACAATTAACAGTTCTAGCGACATTCAGCTTCTTAGAGCTAGCTTTACTGAAGGGAGTCAAAATATTGAAAAGTCCTGTCAAATAATTTATGTAAATTAAGTATTTATGTATTTATGTAAATCGTACATACAATAATCAAAACACTACTCTTTCTTTGCGATTAATTTTACAACTTTTATACAGCTATTTTATTCTCTTTAAAATTATCAGGCAACAATGAAAATTTTTGGCATTTAGCAAACAAATTAATTTTATATTTTCCTCATATTTTGTCGTTTTTTTTTCTCAACAAATCTGTCTAATATTTATTGCAGTTACAAAACTAACACACATCTAGCAGCACGTTTCGAAAAAACAACAGAAGCCGTGAATATGTCTATTACGAGACGTAGACAGCGTACAACATTCACATCTGTACAAGCCGACACACTGGAAAAGGTTTCATCATATTCAATAACTGGATTTTTAAGTAATCAATTTTGTTGAATGTCAATCTTATCTTAGTGATTTTAGTAACGAATATGATAGATAGAGACATGTTACATAAACTTATCACCTTAACTTTAACTTACTTTCACAGCAAAAAATTTTATTTTATCGAGTATATAGTGAGTATACTTGCTTTTAAAACATCTGGACGACATTTATTGAAATATAAAATGCTGCTTTCTTGCTTGGCAAATAAATAGACGATTGGAAATTGAGATTTACTGTTAAGTTAAGTTGAAGTGCAGAAAGGAGAACAAGAGGGCTAATATTGACATCGAGAATAAAAGTCGCCTAGCTGTCATGAATACATAATTAATAACAGCAATAATGTTTTTATAAACGTTTAAAGTAAAAGATTAACTTTTTATTCCATTTCCAGCACTAAAATGAGAATATATCAAGTCACCAAGGGTTTACTGATCTAAATTTATCACGATTATTATGAATTCAATTTTTTCTGAGATTGGATAACATTTCATGCAAAGAAAAATGTAAAAGAATAGCCATGTAGTGCCCCTTCCAAACTGTGTCTAAGAACATAAGCAAATGAATGCGGAGACATTTTGGAAATTTTTTTCGCGATGCTTTTGCAGGAATATCTCGCTGATCAGTACATGCCGCGAAGTAGACGAATGCTTATCGCCCGATCATTAGGTCTAAATGAGAGTCAAGTAAAAACATGGTTTCAAAATCGAAGAGCTAAAGATAAGCGTAACGACAAGAATGCTACGTTATTGGGGTTTATTGTTGTGCCATTAATTTCTCGATAGATTACAGTTATTTTAGCATATTCGGAATTCGTGAAAAACATTGCCTTTTTTCATGACATGAAAAATACTAAATGACCAGCAATAAAAATGTATGCTTGTGTTAAAATTATTCTGGCAGCTCTTCTTAAATATATTCTATTTTCAACATTTCATGTAAACTATTTAATAAGATTTCGTTACCATCCGATACTAGCATAACGTAATGTAAGATTGAAATCAAGCTTTGCAGAGCATATTTAGTTTTAAACAACGCTTTTATCAAACAGCAACTCTGAGGGAAAAACAGAAACAATAAAATTACTACAACAGAAAATTTTCAGCAAAAAGCATAACAAATCAATGAGGATACTTTGATTGCAGCGACAGAAATTCAACTACATCTTCCCCATCGAATTCTTCACCCGAAGTTATCGAAAACAATACAAATTTGATGCGAAATATGTGTCCTAAGACGTTGCATCACATGCAGTTAGCGTAGCATTCCGACGAACAACGTTGCTGAACACATTACACCAATGCATGTTTCTGTCCTCGTCCATTTTTGTATTTGGCATTTATTTCATCCTAACTCTTTCGCATCATTTGATCTCATCATGTGCAATATCATTGCTGCTACCACTAAACATACTGTTCCTTCATTTGTAAGTTTCATTGATATTAACATCGTAACCAAATTTAATGTGTTAGCATGCATTGTAACGAAAGAAGTTTCCAAAAAGAAAAAACGTAAACCAACTTTTAATATGTCTAATGTTTTTAAGTATTCGTCCACCATTGTAACAGACATTTCTTTCAACTATAATCACAAAAAAAACTCAATTTTTCTGTGAAACTGACGACGAAAACTCTCATTCACAAAATACAAACCATACCTATAATACAGATACAAATCAAACATATCTTTTAGATCCATTTACTTCATTTAAGTTAAAATGTTTTCCTTTCATCTTCAGAAACTTCCCTTTGTTCTCTATCAAACAGTTATGATGTAATATGTAATTCAACAATTTATGCTCTAAAATGATCCAAATAAATAAAAGCATATGTCCTTCTAAAATGACCCAAATAAAAAATACTATACAGTAACACTTATAATTTATGTCAATAACATCTGAACTACAAAAGAAATAATAAAACATATTAACAGCATTTAGATTCAAAAATATATGGCGATAATAAGCAAAAGCAGGAAATAGCAAAGCTCGAAACCGTTCAATTCTAGTAGATAAGTGCTTAATGCCGAAAATAGTGAATAGCAATTTCCTGTTAATAAATTCGATAAATTATATGACACTTGATGTCTTCCATTACTATTTTCAAATATAATGGGATGCAAACAAAAGTGGTGCACCAACTGCTCGAAAGATTTAAGTTTCAAATTCAAAACAAACCAGCTTGAGAAATGTGTTTCTAGAAGTTCACCCAGAAAGTAGAAGAACTGAATATCTATACAGCACTACAAGCTACACACTTCATGCAAATTTATTATTAAGAATGTGAAGTGCCATTCCATAAAGGATCAAATGTATGCTTTAGACGGATGTGACTTATAATAGGTTAGATTACGAAATTTAAATAATAAAAAATACGTGTAGTGATAATAATGAAGTTATTTAAAAATGCATGCAAAATAAACCTTATTTTAGCAAGACTCTTATTTTGGAAACTGGTGAAAGAAAAGTTTTCAAAATTACCAAACATCATGTCAAAGGCAAATTTTTTCATTATAGCAACTAAGATTTCAATCAGACAAATGCTTTTCTGAATCATGCACCGATCTTCTGAACTCAGTATCGCATCGTTTGTTAAAAACCAGTGGTATGCCACTGACATGTTTAATCAAACGAACTTTTTTAATCGGAACTAACCCAATTTTGGAACCATCTTTTATACTGAAATAACAAAGAGATGCATAATATTAAAAAGTAAGTGAGCATAGAAAGTCTTCATAAAAACACAACTATCTATAATCACTGCTAATAAAAATTCCTCAAGGAAAAAAAATAGTAATATAAATATTAAATAAAGCCGAGCCTATTGCACAATATAATCAAATTTGATTCGTGTCATGATGACAACTTTATTTTGAAATCGAATGAAAAAATTACCACGCCAAAATGTAACCAGGTTTTCGTGGTTGATATTCTTTCGGAGCAATATATAATGTATCACCATACTTAAATGATAAGCCAGCATTTTTTTCGACATAATGATCTTCTGTAGCCTGTAAAAAGCTCGTTGTTTAATAACAATTGACAGCGGAAAAGCAGACAAGTTGCAGAACTTGAACAACGAGTTCTTAAAAAAACTTGCCACTGCTTCATAGTATTGGTCCCGTTGTGATTTCCATTTTATGGACTCACTAACTTGAAATTTCATTTCAGTCAGCAATTGATATACTAAGTAAGGAACACCCAATGCAATCAACCAAACAATTAAAGATGAAAACAAGCGAAATTTGACTGACGAAGCATTGTGTAAGGAGTGTCGCTGCTCTACAAGAACTCTGGTTTGACTGATTTCTTTGAAGAAAATCTTAGTTATTAAAATAAAAAAGTGAACAGCTATTAGGACGTGAATAGGTTCAATACCTTTAGAAAATGATCAATGCAAAGCTTTGAGACGGAATCTAGCTTTAAAACTACAGAACTACTGGAAAAAAGAATGGTTTATACGAGATCATACTTGATATATTTCGAAATCCCATCCACACCACTTCCATATCATCACTGTTTTTTTTTCTTAATTTCAAACAACTCAGCAAAAATCGCCATATATATCTTAACCAATTCCATAATGCCAGTAAGGGCACCATGTGACGTATCTAAAACTGTAAATATGCTACTTTAATTTTCTAACATCGACATGGTGATATTTGAAGGCAGAACCTATTATGTGTTACATTATACTAACTCGAGAAAATATGGATCATGTATAGCTTACTACAAAATATAATATACCTTTGTCTTTAATCTGGTCAATTCTTCCAAAACATTGAAGATTGTTTCTAAAGAGTTATAAATAGCATGATAAGTGGCATTGAATACTTCTGCCATGCCATTTACTGCCATCAACGTTGCTTCAATTCCACCCAAAGCATCTAAAATATAATTCAAGCAAAATTTTTACGCAATCTAAAACTATTCGCAACTGCTACAGCGGATAAAATTTGCAGTACTAAACCTCGAGCTGATCCACTGAAAAATCGACTAATTTGCCTTCCTTCACGAGATCGGTATCGGAGGTTACCGCAGCCATAAAATCTGCAATGAAAAAAGAGCATAAAATGTGAGGAAATTGATTTTATGAGCTAATATTGATACTGTCAACAAATCATTATACAAATTTATATAAATCAGTAACAAAAGTATGTGAGTATGATATGTAAAAACTGTAAAATTCCTGCTCAATTCAGATAAACAATTAAATAGTATTTCTGACTAACAGTAAAACTAAAACAATTAAAAATAAATATTGTTGACCATTATTTATCATCAAGTTATGGATTAAAAAAATTAATTCTAGTCAAATTTAGCAACAAACAAAAAAGAGAAAAAGTGATAAAAAGGAAAAAAAAACTGACGAAGTAAAATATGAACTTGCTGAAGAATACTTTACATTCGAGGGTTTTTGAGAAGACCATATATGTGGGCATGTAAAAGACGATGCTTCAGAAATTTCTTGCGTACTGAATGGAGGATACCTACAGTCCATGTTTGCCTAAACTTCTTCACGTATATATTGCAGGATTTCAACAAAACATTGCTACCACATCTTTTCGAGACATTAAGCAACGCCCCAAATGTTTATGCACAAAGTTAAATTTTGAATTATTAAAATTAAGATATATGAACAGTGTCCACATTCACTGCTTTCAGTAGTATTTTTTATCAATATTAAGAAGTAAATGAAAATTCATTCACAAGTAAGATATGATAAACTATAGATTCTGTAGCAAAGTCAAGCTTAGTAAAATAAAACAACTAAAAACATATGTTCTAAAATCTGGGGCAAGAAATTCAGCAGAAATTTAAGATTAACATCGCGTGCTACTCTCATTCAAAGTTTATATTTTAAATTGATTAACTGATTGAAAAAAATTTTCTCTACGCAAACTTGCGAAAATCTCTTTAAAATGATCGAAAATCGGTCATTATATATGAGTTAATTTATGGTTACTAAACTCGTTGTACAACAACAGCATGCAAACATTTATTAGTTTAATAGTTGTACTCACAATTACTAAAGTGAATTTTATATTTCATATCAAGTAATAATTTGAAGCAATTTTAAGCAAACACATACAAGTTGTTGGCAAATTAAAATTGAAATTATACCAGTTGAAACTAATTTTTTGAAGAAATAATTTTTTTTTTTTTTTGAAATATTACAGATATAATAACTGGTTTTCCGTCTTCTAATAGCATGTAAACAAGTGGAACACCTTCTGATCAGGACGAAGGTCATGCTATGATTTTTATGTAAAGACTAATCTTATGAAAAAAAAAATCATGCTAATTTATTGATGACAGTAATTAATGAGAAGGTAAAATGTGTATGCAGCACTTTACTACGATAAGTTAGCACCTCCAGTCACCGATTCACTGATATTGCTCAACTTTTATCATCGTCATTATCATCATATCTTCTCTCTTTTCACTGCTTCCCTACTTACTATCTATCAACCTTCATTCTTTGCAAGAAAAAAAAATACTTTCCTTTTCTGAATCAGAAAAAATCATTTCAGACGCAAAATATCTGATGTTAATGAATGCATTTCAACTGTATTCTTGCTCTACTTTTTTCTGTATTGCAGTCTAATTTATACGCTAATGTTCCACTTCGTTCAGGTCATTTTTTTTCAAGCAGTCATTATCACTGTTCGCTTATTTTGATTAATTTTTAAAGCTACAATAAAACTACTAAAGACTTTTGTCTTTTTAACCTCAAGTACAGCAATTCAATTTTATTAATTTCGCTATTTTATAAAATTTGATATTGATTGTAGACAGAAACAATGTACAATAACACGTTTACGTGATTAAATAAATAGCTTATTTGCAAGTTGGATTATTTCATAAACAATCAATAGCTAAAAGTATGACTGTGTCAATAATTTACCAAAATCATGGTGAAAGCGATAATTGCTATTTGAATTATTTGTCTCGAAATTGGAAAATATTTATGATCAGCCTTGACTCTCTCAAATCATTGATATATCAGTAAATTTACTCTCAACACAAACGATAAGTAACATAATAAACATTTGTAATTGATCATCTTTAATGTCTATTGCATTTACAGATTATCCTTTGCATATTGGAGGTCGATGTGGGACCAATTTTGACTGTGATCCAAATGGCGCAAAAATTTGCATACCACTCATTGCCATAAGAGACTGTTTCATTGACTGTCCAAATGGGGCTGATGAAGGTCAGAATAGTTCCACATGTTTCTATGTCAAATCAGATTTTTGGTTTTGAATAACATCGTAATTTTAGGTCCAATAAATAATCAATGGTAAAACTTATTGTGGAAATGAAATAATTAATTTTCGATGCTTTTAGAGTGCCCTCTGAATACAATTTTATGTGATTCAAAAAGCCGACGTGGATGTGGTAAATGCGTGAAAGCGAAAGAACGCGATATACAATGCAGAGATCGACGATGTTTTTAATTTGAACATTTTTACCTGCTTTTTCATTACTATGTTGCAAATTTCTATGGTAAACAAGTTTAAATTTTTTTCCATTTTACAGGGCGAAACATTTGTATGGAACCAAGACATTTCAAATGTGTATCTACCGATAACTGTATCTTAATTCAATGGATTGGTGACGGTACTGATGACTGTGGCGATGGCTCAGATGAAGGTGGTTTTAAATACCTTATAAGCAGTTATTGAAGAAATGACACAGCTTAAAATACGAATATGAATTAGAGATACTGTGGGATTGATTCAAGTTTCTTCAAGGTTTGCCTCTATTTCGTTTGTCGAAACTGAAATTACATGACGAATAAAATGATTCAGCATTGTAGACTTGTGTGCTTTCGGATTCCCGGGATGCAATAAGACAGACGAGAGTGTAATGGTGCCATCACCGTTCACAACTGCAACTCAAACACAAAGTAATAAAACAAAATATCGAAATTCACAATTTTGAAAAAATATTCAGAACTTTGTCTTTCACACTAATAACTACTAAAATATAGTTCTATTATGTTATTGTTTCTTCCATTTAGTAATTTTGCATTTTCAATCTATTCAATGTCGATATAAGGACTATCAGAAGAATGCTCAGAAAGTCAGTTTCAATGCATCACATCTCATGAATGCATATCCATTGTTCATGTCCTGGATGGTACTGAACATTGTAACGATGGAAGCGATGAAAGTATGAAATTTACTTTAGAACGTCTATAAAAACTACGGAAGTAAAATTTAAGTAGCAAACATATGACAAAAAATAATCTTGCCAAGTAAACTCTATCGAAATTCATGACTCTTGCTTTAATTTTGTACTGACTTTTCAATTCGCTTCTGTTGCACTTGTCACCATATTATACGTTTACTGCTGAGTCTGCGTAATAGCTCTTGGCAACTAATTAACTACAACCAAAACATTGATCTTCGGAAGGGTATTGTAAAGAAATGGTTGGAAGCGAAATGTGCCAAAAATCACAACAGTGCAGCTTTAATCCATCTGTCGCAGCATTTACTTGCGGTTGTCCATTTGGATATAAACGTTCTATTAACGGAATATGCTTCCCATTTTTAGGTTTATTCATTTATTTTTCTTACTTTCGTCCCTTTGGCTCACTGAAATTCATTTAGAAAGAAGGTTACCTTCAGAAAAATTCATAAAGTTAGAAATTTTGCAGAAATATAAGCTTAGCAACGAGGTTATTCTTTGGCTAAGAAAGAATAAAATGTAAAGAAGTTAAATAATTGTAACGAGTCAAATATATCTATGAACTATTAGTTGTTCATAAATAAATAAGTACGGTCTGAAAAATTTTTTATAAATATTGGGAAGTAAAGATTGCTATGACTTTCAGCTCCGAGCTTTAGTGCTGACTGTGCTGATTTGCAAAGGCGCTATCCGACTGCTGATTCTGGTGAGTTCACGCTAAATGATTGGAGTTGTTCCAAGCCGGAAATGTGCTCCTTCATGGCTCGATGTGAGATGAACCTACTTGGAGGTGGATGGACTGTAAGTGAAACACTGACATTTTATTTTCAGTTAGATCAAATTTGACTCATCTTTTTTCATATTTTGTCATTCTGGCTTTCTACATAGGTAACTTTGTATAATTCGTTAATTGTTCGAAATAATCAAAAATGCTTCAACTGTTTAATTATAAGGAAAGCATTAGATCAATCAAATATAAGGCTCGCAATGGAAGAAAATGATATTGAAAATGACAATAAAGTTATTGATAAATATGTATATAGAAAATACCATAATAATTGCAGATAATTATGCAACGCTTTAACACAACGCTCAACTTCAACAAAGACTTACTAGATTATGAGGATGGATTTCAAATAGACGAATATAATTTCTGGATTGGTTAGCTTTATGCTCTTTATTTGACTTCAAAAACGTATAAAATTTACTGAGCTAAACTAATAGCAACTTTGAGAACGTGAGTCAACTTTAAAACGCGCTTTTACCAAACAATACTACGTATACTTCTAGATATGAAAGACGATACTAGCAGCAATATGTTGGATAACTAATTATCAAAAAGTAGAATGCGTTTATATACCTGTTACATTTGAGGATTAGAACGTATGTACCGCTTAACAAATCGTCCTCATTGCACTAATGAATTATTGCTAAGATTACGCACGGCTGTGGATGGAGAGACCATTCTTGTTCGTTATTCGCATTTCATCGTTTGCGAACGAGTGTTGGACTATAGACTAAACTTAGGCAGTATTGTTTACGGCAATGGCTTGAATAGTTAGTTTATTTCACATGTTTTATTTCTCGTTGTTTCACGTGCAACTAACTGTTTGAACAATGGTTGATCGATGAATGATAATTAGTGTTAAGCAGTACAGGCAACATTTACTTTCGTATCTTACCCATATCTCACAGAAATAATGCATAAGAAGAGAGATACAAAAACTGTTGTTTCAGCGGTAAACGAGTTAGCGGAAGGTCATTTATGTGCATTCGTTAGCAACAGCAACGATGGTAACAATAATAGCAAAGGCACTATTTCGGAGCAGAATTGTTTCGATGGTGGGGGAGGATGGTGGAAAAGAAGAAGATGCAATAGTGCAATACAGCGAGGAGTACTTACCGCAACAAACAAAGCATCTGGAAGGTATCCGGGACTTCGATGGAATGGCAAACGACTCTCAGCGGTTCAGATGCTCATCCGACCTCGTGGATTCATACCACCAGCAAAAAATAAGCCCAAGTCCGTAAAAGCTGCAGAAAAGCTAAGTTCTAGACATGATCATAAATAAACTTACGTACTATTATGCTTATATGCAGAACTGTCCTATTCTTTTATATTCATTGCTACGTATTACTCATTCAATGATACGTAATATACTGACTGATTCACTTTTAACTACATAACTTTATTTCCCAGCATTCTGATATCTGAGTACTCTCAATTCATTCATTCTTTTCTTGCTAAATTACAAAAGCTCTCCATACTTTTGCAAAAATAAAACCTAAATGCTGTTGCCAACGATAAATAATTACCGACCAGCATCACTGCATCGTTACCGTTCTGTATTCGCGTTTCTTAATCACGCAACTTCTTCCACTCAGTATACTAATGTATTATCAAATAAAAGCTTCTACCATATAAAACCAAGTTAATCAAGTTAGGTACCACAAACCATCAATAAAAATTACATGTACCATAGATACACAAAATAAGGCTAATTTGCCGACCTTCGTCCTTTGAGAATAGTTTTTAAGCTTTCGGCTTAAAGATCCTCAATTTCGATGTGCGACGTTGACACTTGGTCCTTACCGGTCGAAGATAACTGCATCAAATGCTAGACGAACCACCGCGAAAAATGACAATAGGAGAATAAATGAAATAGCTGTTATTTAGTATGTTTATTATTCAGTCGATGATTCAAAAAGTTTGAAGATTTATACCATTATTTATTTAAAAGACGTCCATTTTTCAGTCGTGTACTATTGGTGGTTGGCTAGAAGGTCCTCTTGCAATTTCGTGGTTATAAATTGTCGGTGGATTACTTCTTATCTTGGTGAACGAGGCAGACAAGTTAATAAAATTCAATATCAGTGAAAATTTTCAGTCGATTCTGAAAAATTTCCATCTCAAAAATATTTCATCTAGATCAGTATCGTCTAGATTTTTGATTGCTTCCGTTTGCTGTATTCCATGTTAATATTAGCACTTGCGTGTTTCAGTATGACTGATGAACTTCTAGCAATTACTGATGAATTAGAAGATGATGCTGAAACCCAGTGGGATGAGTATTTGCCCTTCAAAATCTTGGTATTTTGAATTTGATTTTTCCACTTACATCTTTTGTAACATTTGGTCTTAGTTCTTGAAACATTTCTAAATGTTTGTCGGCTCATTGCTCAAATTTTGTCAGATAGTTTTGCTGACCTTCATTAACATTTGCTAAGTAATTTATACATTATTAACTTGTTGTTAAGTGATGTAATTACTGCTCCATATTTGCATAGCTGATTAATTCACGATTATTTCATTTATTAGAACAGTCTATTGTAGCCTAGTAGTTGTTTATAAAGTTAGTCGTTCATCTATCAATTCTTTTATTTCCATGATATCGGTAAAAATTGACGCATGTTTAGGATGATGATAGTCGTGAATTGACTCCAGTTGTAGGACATACAATGGTAGAATGTAATAAAGCACTGATTATATGGGGTGGATATTATCATGCAGAAGAAGATGATATTCGTCATCGTTCATCATCTTTCTTACATATTCTACCTGCAGGATTATTGGCAGATTCGAAGAGAATAAAATGGTTCTTTTCTAGATCATTGTACTATGTGATTAAATCATTGCAGATCACATTACTTCTACCTTTCAGAGACATAATTTTTTGGAAAAATTACAGGATTCTTTACCATGTTCCTCGTGGCGATGTACCTCCATCCACGAGTGGCTCTTCAGCTGTATTATGTGACTCTCAACTTTTCATTTTTGGAGGTTATATGAAACATTGTAAGTATTGTTTATGATGTATTATCTTTGTTAGTTTTCAGCATGTAAAAATTATTTTGATATACCAGAAATTAATAAAAAACCAGGACGTAAAAGAAATAGGACACATATTATGACGCGCATTAGAATTTTTTCGTCATATTTATTGTGATCTGTTAACAAGCAACGGAAGCATCGATGGAGTGGTTTGTCATTTCGCTTGTGATATGGAAGTGGTGGTTTCATACTTCAATAAATGCCATCACAAATTGGACAGAGCAAAAGTCTAATCTGTTAAAAAAAATTTTCGTTAGCTTCAATAAATTGTTGATTACGTAACTTAATATTGGTCAGATCCAAATATTATTTGACTGTATTTAAGCTTATTTCTGCGACAGACTTAAGCTTTTTAGCTCAGTGACCAGGTTAATCGTTGCAAGAATTGAGATTTGTTGAACCTAAAGATTCAAATGTTTATATATTGCTGGTACTAAAATAATTACAAATCCTGTGTTCATTCTCAGTCAACAGATTTTCATCTTCATTTTTGATTTTTCGAATCTTATGAGTTATATTCGCAACTCATTTAACAAAAAAAATTATAGATGTAGTATTGTATATATTTCTTACTCTAACATGAGTGTCATATAAATCTAATCTTTATTTCAACTATTCATGTGTTGTTTCTTTTATAATTTTATACGCAACGTGCATATTTTTCTCGTCAAAAAAACATAGCACTTTAATTCTACTGCTGCTGTTCACTATAGCAATGTACATTCCAACAATTTCTGATTATTATAGTTAGAGTTTGGAAATTTTTAGCGGTTCCAAATAATGTTATGGAAGGTCATTCATCAATGATGTATGTGTTAGACTTGATAGAAGAAAGCTGGTCGTTGTTCAAAACAAGGGAGAAAAATCTCATTCCAACACCGCGGGACAAAATGGTCGGATGGTGTCACGGAAAAAAGTTTGGATTTTGATAGTGCAAAAACTCTTCTAGTTTTAGATTTGTAGGATTTCGTAGTTTCAAGATCACGTTAAGTTTTGAGACTTACTGGATAATTTTGTTATAGGCGTGGCATTGATATAGCATTAAATATACTCTGTGTTTTAGATTTATACTGTAACAATATTGCAAAATTTAAAAGAGTGGGATTGCATCAGCATAAGTACATGACCATTTTTGGAGCAAAACAAAATTTTTTAGATGCTATTACTTTGGTGGATATGGGCCCCGCCCTTTCGATATGCCAAATCCGACCTTGTATTTATCAAATTCCGGTGACTTTGTTCCTGATGAATCCAGTACTTTTTACTGGAATAACCAACTACTGATTTTTGACCCAGATCCATCACAGAAGCTGAACTGGTCTCTTGCTGTGTAAGTTTAAAAGATAGTTCAAGAAGAAGTGGTAAAATGCACGTTATTGTCATTTTCCAACTTGAAATTTTGGACAAAAAAAAGGGTTATCAGAGAATTATTCTGTGCGACTCGGAGGCTTGTTTAAAATTATATTGTGAATTGCATTCATCAGTTGATGGCAACTGTTATTTAGTAGTAAAGCAATTAAATTTCAGAGTAGGAGGAACAGTGCCTTCACCTCGTGCGGCCTGTGCAAGTACTTATTTGGCAAAATATAATAGCATCTTGATTTTTGGTGGTCGAATCAGGAATGACAGACTTAATGATTCGTATATGCTTGATTTATCAACTCTTATTTGGTCGCAAATGTAAATTCTGTTCGCATATCTTGAAGTTGTGTATATTTACACTGAACACAGTATGTCAGTGAATTGAAATAGAAGTTTCAGTCAGGTCCCAGGGACATCCATACCGCAAGGTAGGACATGGTGTTCTCTTAATGCGAACTCTCCAGATCAAGCTGTGCTGTATGGTGGTTATTCTAGCGCGGAACGTACACTTAGTGACTTCTGGAAAATACAAGTGACAAAAAACAAAGTTGGAAAATATGAAGGGGAATGGACTTCATTAAATTTGGGAAATGAAACGCAAGCCAGATTGTGGCACACGGGAGCTATAATCAACGGGAAACTTTTCGGTAGCATTCTGCTATTTTTGAGTATGTTTCATTAGGGCAACTTTGATCTTTATTTTAAATGGCTAACAAGAAAGATTTGCAAAGAGACAACAAATCATGAGTTTTGTCCAAGAAAATCAGAAAGCATGTTCCGGTCTGACGAAAAGTAAAAAATGTATGGATATTGGGAAATCATTTCAGCTGGTGAAAGCTTGTTTTTCACCTTTCACAAAGCTCTCTGTAAGGGGTTCCTAGCTGGTTACTGTCAGGCCATTAACTTTCGCAGTCCATGTTATCTCAAATTGTTTTTGTAACTACCAACTTCAACAACTAAAGCTATGCGCATTGCAACGCATTTTCCGTTGCAGTATGTGGTGGAACAGACGACATAATGGAACAGCATATTAAAACGAGGGGCGTATGGAGAAGACGTGTTAAGCCGAGTTCTCTGATGGATATATGTTTGAGTTATCTAAATGCAACGATCGTAGAGATCAGCATGATACCTTATACGCTGCAGATACGTATGGCTTGGACACGTTACCTCACATCTGAAGGTGCTGACGCATTTCACTTAGATACTAGTTCTTTCCAAGGACTGAAATTAGCAGATTTACTTAACATGTGTCAGTAATGCCACCCAACAACAAAACTAGTGCGATTTTCTCATTTTACATTCATGCACCCTGTTTACCAAACGTAAGCAAATATGTCATGCTTAGGAGTTATTTCCAGGCATGCCGTTTTATTTCTAAAATGTAATTATTTTGACCATATCAAAGAAGGTGAATGAAGTCTAGATCCACTACGCTAGTTTATTGAATCGAACATTTTCAGTGTTTGTAAGAATTATTTTGATCAGTGTTCCTATAAAAACAAAAATGAGGACTTAGAAGCCGCATTCACTTTTTCATATATGTATGTATGTGTATCTGATCATTCGCGAATTTCCTGTGAAGAAACTGTTTTAATAAATGTTACTTGTGCATGTATTTATTCAGAGCATATTTCTACGATATCAGAATCAGCACATTACACCTAACAGGTCTGCTCAAACACTGTACATAACGATAATAAACAAAATTCACTAAGTAATTAAAGGAGATCGTGGAAAAGAGTACAGGCAGCCAGAGATCATAATGCTGGGATCGATTCAAAACAAATGTGTGATTTCACGATCTTAAAGATGTGAAAGAATCACCGTTCTAGAGTCCTAATACACGTCTCTGAAATCATTGTTTTACCTAACATCCGTTTGGAGAGCACGTGATTGCTACATTCCCAAGGTATGCTATATGCAACAGTAAATTTATAAATGTAATGTTCTTATGATGTAAAGGACAATTCCTCCACAAGCTGTACCATCGATCCTGGTTTCTGAATGTTAATAACTGACAAGTGAAAATGCCAAGAAATTTCTGGATCCATCTTCGCGAAAAACAAATGGAGGCCGATATTGTGGGCAGTCAATCCTACATCTGTAATTTAAGGCAAAGACTTCGTAAGATAGTGAGGTAAACGCCAGTGAAATGAATGATTAAGCTGATCAAACCTGGAAAGGTTTCGACCGAGGACTTTTTGCATGCAGTTGAGGAAAAATTTTCTTGAAATGATTAGACGGAAATAGACTAGCAAGAAATCTTTCAAATACAACATAGACCAATCGACGATTGAGTCTTCTATTCTGAAACACTTCGAAAACATTTCCGATCCCTGCATTTGTGGTTTCTGCACCGATGAATAATCGTAATTCGTCGGGCAAAGCACTCAACATGAGAGCTTTTGCTAACAAGCAAGTCCTGAGCTTTTCGTTATCTGAGCGACTTTCACTGTTCATCAGTAGCTGACCATCTGGCCACAACGTATTTCTGTAGAATGTTTGTTTAGAACTGATGTAAAGTCATATAACCGAGAAAAAAGATTTGATTTGTAAAAACAAATCAATTTTTTTAATATATATAAATTTCATTATCTTACTTTGAAGTGATTGTGGACAACACACTGTGTCTAGTACTGGAGGAACACATTTCTTCGTTATTTCTGGTTTCTATTTCTTTGTTTTACCTCAGTGGCGATGTCATGATGCGACTATGGAAGTAAATGGCGAAACATTCAAGAAATCAAGTAAATCAGTTATCTAAAGACTGGGAACGCATTTCTGAAGAACCTTTCACATCACAGGTGACCTCTAAGAAGCGAAAAAAAGTAATAGACCATAATAATAATGCTTTTGCAACCCTTGTCTTCGTTACTTCAGCAACGGGAAAAGATAAAGAAAAATTGCACACATGGGGTGAATAGAGAGAAAGAAAAGACTGTTGCAAAAAGAGTTTGAAACCTAAAAGAAGAATGTCGCGTTGTCTTACAGTCAAGATATCAAAAGCCTGAGAAGAAAACAAGACGAATGGAGAAAAACCGCATCTGGAATCATAGCAGAAAACAATGGAAAAACACATGAGGTAGTGAAAAGCTCCTTGAAAGATGTGAGAGTACACTCTGCCAGTTTACCGAAACCAGGAACCAGCAGCATTATGCTCGAAGTACTTATCCGAGGAATCGAAGTTCCGCAAAGCAGCTGGCAGAAGAAAGTGCTGAAGGCGGTTCTTGACCGCTTTCGGATGATGCCGAGAAGGGATAGCCTTTGTATTACGAGGACTTTGTGTGCGCGATTAGCCTTCAAGAACTAAAACAGCAAGCGAATGCTGCAATCATCAGTATTGCAGGTCGTACGTGCTCACAGAAGCGGTTCTCAGAAAAAACAACAAAACGTATCAAAATAGTTGAAACCTACTCCGAGGAAAATATGCTACATGAGTCTAAGGTCTATCTAGAGATAAAGCAGAAGTACCTAGTACTGATGCATGTAGCACAAAGACGCGGGATAGACCATAAAAAGTGGAGGCGGAAAAGAAATCATGGAGAAAGTTGACCCACCCATACTTGGAGCGATAAACCAAGTGGCGGGTGAATATGCCACTTAGAGTTCCCCCAATTCAGTGACTGATCTTGCAAGGCAGTTTCAAGTGGCACAACAATTCTATGCAGATATGAAAAGGCGGAAAAAGAAGCCATTGAGGTGGAAGGTAAGCATAGAAAAAGAGATAGTGTGAAAAACTTCCACAAACCCTTATACAACAGTATTTAACCGGTGAAATACTTGAAGGTAAAGACCTGAGGGAGGTCAAGAAATGCATGAGGAGCATGAATCTCATATTTGCTCTTAAACGTGACTGTCAAAAGACCCTACGCATGTTAACAGAACGTGTGAGAGTTCATGAGAGTAAAAATAAAGAGTCATAAAGCTCGATGTGCTTTTAAAATTCAAAACCCAAGATTTGATTTGTTCAAAAGGCAGTTTTACAGAAAAATAATTGAGGAACAACCTGTTAGCCACAATGTAGGGACGGAAGAAATCAGAGAGTTCTGGGCTACGATGTGGAACTCGAAAACGGGAGACGTTGATGATCAGCACAATGAATATCCAGACTCTGAAGTGCACGATAGTTCCCTATCTGAAGCCGAGAAGTTTCCTATTTGTCCAACTGCAAAGCGACGGGCCCTGATGGGATCTACAACTTCTTCATTAAGAAGTGCACGTCTCTACATCCAGATTTGTATAAAATAACTAGGCGAATCTGCTTGGACGGAGAGGAACAGGACCCATGATTCCACAAAGGATCGACGTATCTGATTCTTAAAGAGGTCCCAAATAAAGGTAGTGACTTCAGGCTAACAACCTGCATGCCAAGTCTTTACGAGTTGACAACGACATGTGTGACACGAGTCATACAATTAGATATTGCCATGAGAAGACTACTTGCAGACAACCAATTAGGAACTGTTGGATAGGTTCAAGGTGCAAAAGAGCACACACTCTTAAACCTGACGGTATGCAGAGAGCACAGAAATCAGTTAAGCACCACTTGGTATGACGTTAAAAAGCGTTTAATTTAGTCAGAACTATCTCATTAAATATATCGAAAAGCTCAACATGGCAAAGTGGATCGGCAAGTTTCTGAGAAGCACTGCCTCCAGACTGAAAAGCGGTTGGTTACACTGAAAAACAAAGGAGAAATATTACAGGAGAAAAAAATACAGCGAGGAATCCTTCAAGGTGACAGCCTTTATCCGCTGTTGTTTGTTTTACGCATGGATACGTTGAGCCGTCGGTTCAATATAAGGTACCCAACGGTGGCGGTTCCGACTGATCAAGGAATGCATGTAACAAACTATTTATGTGGATGAACTCAAACTCCTTGCTACCGACGAAGATATCATGAAAGCTATGGCCGAAGAAGTCCAGAGGTTTACAAGATTTCATTGCAATGCAAACTACTCGTACCTGAATGCAATAAGGTACTGGACGACTTGTTGCTTTGATGTCAACCACTGAACTATATCAATAATCTTCCGATTTAACGAAGAACCCATTGTTGCGTGAACGAATTGATTTAAAAGAGCTACCAATCTTCTTCGAAACCATGCATTTCGCGAACGAACGCCAAATACTTCACCAATTAAAAGGACAAGAACTCGTAAAGGAATACTGTCCATCCACTGCTGAAAACACTCCTTTATCAGCAATACGTTGTTTCAAATTTAAAAAATAATTTATTTTGTGAAAAATCTTTCCAGCTAAATCTATAACGAAATATGCGATGGACGTTATCACCTGGTCGTTATAAACTGCTGCTACACGACTCAGATCATCTTCATTCGATGAAGTATGCAACGTCTGGAAATTCACATAGCAAGACGTGTATAATTTATAAGAGACTAGTTACGACAGTGAATTTATAATATATATAAAGTTTCACAGTCTCTACAGTAAATGCATTTTTAATAGAAATTATATCTCAATCCTCACAAGTTATTAAAATCAACAGCAGTGTAAATTTGATCGAATTACTTATCACTGTGAATAGATGGTTCAGAACGAGATACCATACTAAATACCTGTGATGACTGAAAATTAATTATTTGTTTCGCAGCTTTATTTATGCCATCACCCATACGAGTTACTCCATCATAAACAGTATCAGGCACAGCTGTTACAGCATTTCCGAAAGCACGAGCCCCAATTTTCAAAGGTTCAAATACAGCATTCATAACCTGCCAAAAGATCTTTTGAAGAGACGTGTAAGATCAGCTGAATCTCCATTTTACCCTAGTGACAACAATTGTACCTTTTTCGATAATCTTCGTTCACCAATATAATCTTTCATACTAAGAAAATCGAATACAAGCACCTCCAAATCATTATTGGCTTCCAGAACTGATGGTTGTAAGATACTCTAAAAAGTACTAATTAAAACATATAATCATGATTGCCAGTAAATAGTAAAGATAAGCAGTGCTTAGAAATAAGTGAATATTTCCTATCAGCAAAAAAAATGTTTTCTTTGTAATGAATTGGAACTACCAAGATTAGTGAGCGTTTTAAATCTTCAAATTTCCAAACAAACGAGAAAAAACAAACCATCATATAATTATTCAGAGCTTTAGTTCTTTCCTCGAGAAAGTGTGAATCCAGATTATTGAATGTTTTCTTACCCGGAAAACATAAATTGCTGAGTTTTGGAAACTGAAATGGAAGAAATTTTTGAGCTCAACCATCATAGTAATTTTATGATATAACGGTACCACAAGAGGGGAAATTCATGCAGAACAACTTTAAAACAAGGCTACAAGTGCACTCCTGCAAAGTAGCCAACCAAAAAGATTTTCCGACATATATATTAACTCGAAACACTGATTGGTTAAAAGGTTTGAGACATTATTACGTACGCGAGATTGTATAAGTGAATGGAGCATATGAAAATCAGAATATCGTCGAAGAACATTCCAACTGCTATTTTGTTTTCCAGAAGCATCAATTCGTGAAACACGAACATTGTACAAAGCAAAAGTCTGCTTGCCTTGTTGTCCAATACCAAGCGTTTCAACAACAACATGCATTCCCATGCGTAAGCGTTTAAAATCGTCAACATTAACTCCAACCTTCAACATTATAATCCATGCCTTCGCTAATCTCACTCATAATTTACGGAATTTTAACTAACTTAATAAGAACTATGCAGAAACTTCAGAACTGAAAACATTTTGAACCCCTAATTCAATTACTGAAATATGAAAGAACACATTTTTCTTGAAATAGTATTTTGGCCAAAATAATTTGAAAAAAAAAACTACTTCATGAAATTGTACAAACTTAATTTCACATTAAGATTGAAATTTCTTTAAAAAAAAGACCTCCAATTTAGAGTTTACTGGAACATGAAGTCGACTATCACTGTCATCGATAAACTGTGATTTATTAGTTTGACAACTGGCTTGTTCAACTAAGCCAAGTTCATGAAGCATTTTTCTGTATGTGAAGTGTTTTTTGAAAGATTCATAAAACCGTTCATCCTGTAATAATAATTTGAAAATAAAATGCATCTTCAGATATTATGTACTGATCAGGTAACTTAAAATTTGGACTGTGATTTGAGGTATGATTATTACGGTTACCACTGGAGTAAAATTAAATGATTAAAATAAAGTCTTGAAAACCTAAAAAAGTTTCATATATTTTAAATATCATTGAACGATTATACCAAAAACAACGCGATTTTAAAAGAGAAATGTACTACAAACACTTTTTTGCAATATGAATCTATCAGAAAAACAAACTGTTCGTAAAATATGAACAATTTTTCCCTGTATTTGTTCAAACCACAAATCAGGAGGCTCATCGCTTTTTATACGTAAAAGTAACTTTCTCACTGTAGCATCGTCTAAAGAAACTCGCGTAACTGCCTAAAAAGTAATAAAATCATAAAATAGTTAACTGAGAGTACATCTATCTATTAATCATATTCCAACATTGCCTACATTTCGATAATGAGCATAAAATTACTGCACATAAGATTATAGATTTTATATGCGACGAAACTTGATTAAACTGATTAAAAAGTTAAACTAGCTTCTTCTGATAAGTATTGCTGATAGATGAAAACTGCAGCTTCTTTAATCGTTTCATAAACATCAAACTCGAGAGTCTCGCCATTGGAAAGCCCACGCAACTGATGTTCTACAGATGCTTTGAATCCCTGCAAAAATATGAAATTAATACAGAAAAACTGATAAAGTAAAACTTATAATTTTTTTAAAAATCCTATAGCAATTCACAATTCGCATTTTTAAGCAACGATACAATAAAATGTCATTTTTTCATAATGTATTTCATTTTAACAATATAAAATATGAAAACAGAGAAATATTTTACAATTAAATCTTTTAATTAGTAAATGTAATTTAATACATAAAGAGATTCTTTTATTCTCAAAACCAGACCTATCATCATGAAGTGGATTCGACTTCACTTACTTCAACTGCTAAATAGCAATCAATCAAAGCTTGTCCACCAACACATGCAAGGAAATCAGCAAAATGTGCTACTGCTATATTGTTTGTCAATACCACGTGAATTGGTAACTGTAAATGAAATGAGCCCTCTGCTTGCGGGTTGGTGCACTTCTAAATTAAGTCTAATCTAGTTTTTATCTCAGTCATAAATTCAAGTGAATAATGAGCCTTGTTTTGCAGAGAGATAAATTCACTTTGACTTTTACTTTTATCTGCACAGTTTTATTACATTGAAATGCAACTCTATTTTTAATGGTTAACGACATCCAAAAAACAAAAAAAAAACCTTTTGCAACAAATCATCAACTTCGGTCACTGATAAAGTATCCATCCGTCGCTTTACGATGTTTATCGTGTAATCAATGCTAGCTAACTGCTGCTTTACCAAAAAGCCTTTAAAACAAGTTCAATTAAATAAATAGTAATATCAACAAACCAAAAGCCAACTTTAAAAGAGTTATCCAATTAAATAAAAAGGAATTAATACTTATCCTGAGTAGAAAGAAAAAGTCAAAACCTGGAAAAGGCAACTCTTTTAAAGTTGGCTTTTCAAATTTTCTTTTGTTTTCATATAAACAAAAGAAAATTTGAAAATACAAAAAAAAAAATGAAATTATGTACAAAACCTTGTTCACCACCAGAATCTTTAGTTCGAAGATGTGCTGCCTCTTCACAAAGTGAATCTAAAATTGCATCTAGTGCTTTCACGTTGTCAGTGCTTTCAATTGCTGTGATAAAATCTTCTGGTTTCAGATTCGTACCACTAAGCTAGAAAGGATTTTATTATTAAACTCTTACATCTCAATGACATGTGCAATGCGTCCTACAAATTTGAAATTAAAGTAGCTTACCAACCAAACTATACTGTAGTTGATGAAATCAGGATCGCTTAGCATATCTAAAAGAGGTAGCATTATGCGCTTAACATATATTTCTCGAAGCAGAAAACGAAACGGCCGGGAACGAAAATCTTCAGGGGGTGTTAAAAGATACAACAGAACATCAGCAACATCATGCAGATATGCTGAAAATAATTTCAGTACATAAAACGTGTAATAATAGAGCGCAAAAACTTTGTAGTAACAAACCATTTTCATAATGTGAACAAGTGGAAACAAGATCCCTGCAATAACACTTTTCCATTTCTAATTCCAGATCAAAAAACATCGTTTCTAACTCATCTGTAGAATAATTTTTCCCATAATGAAGTCGAGCACGTTCCTGGGATAGAAATAAATGGTCCAAAACTGAAGGAATACTAAACAGAAAGTGTGTAAATGCAGCTTTAAATAACTTACAAGATAAAATATCTCATAGTGCGATGCAGCGATGAAAATTTTTTTATAATTTTAGCATTCATTTCATTACATTTTCGGCAATATATAAACGTATGTAAGAGCTGTAAATACAACAGAAAATTTTATAAATCGTCGACATTTTGAAGACCTAATAGATAGAAGACCACAAATAATTGAAAAATATACTCAACATGATGCAAAACAATAAAAGGTTTACTTGCGTACCGAATCATTTTTGAATAAGTGATTCACAATAATCTTTCAAATATGAATTCTTTAGACCATAAACCAAGTAATTTTTCTTTCGTCAGTAAATAAAATGAATAAAAATCTCTAATTTCTTTCGAACAAAAATTATCAAAATTTAGTTGTCATGAAATCTTGAGCTATTAATGAGTAACAAATATTTGATTTCAAATATTCAGAACTCACTTTTGCTCTTCGAAATAAACGAAAATGCGAAGCAATATCGTCGACAATATGCTGAGTTAATAGGGGTACGAAATCAACTTTTTGGATACTAAAATGATTTCCAATGTTAAGCAAATCATAAATATGAATCATTCACAATTCTCACTTTTTTTAAACAAATATCAGTACATTTTTCTTACGTTTATCCTCAAAAAAGAATTACATAGAGAACTCTACAAAACACAAAGAAAAACAATATAAAAGCATACCACTGTGAAAAGGCAGCAATAGTGCGCCTTGCACTGCGCTTCAAGCTTTCTTGGAAAAGATGATCTGGTGTCAAATTATTATACCACTTATCAATAAAATCCCGAATTATGTATGAAAGCATCTACAACTGCTTGAATGCACATTAACTTTTAGAAAAATTACAGACTCGCAAAGTAATTGTTATAGTTAGTTTGTAAAGAAATCTGGTAAGAAACTGTAAAGAAAACTTCAGAAAGTTTATTCACCTGTTCAAGTACAGCATCGATAGCAAGTGAATTCGTCATAGCCTGCACTTCCTCATAACAAATATTCTGAGAGAATCGCCCACAACTTGCTAGATATTCTCGTTGTCCTACCAGAAAACGAAACTTTCTAACAATCTTATTTAGCTGATTTAAATCACTAGCTGATTTTTCTCGGCCGTAAATGATAATCGTTATAAACAGCCTGTAATAAGTAACTAAAAGTATAAGTAATCTACGGTTGCTTTTATTCATTAATATGAGACTACCTGATGTTAAAAAAAAGAATAAAGCTTGAACGAATAGAATTTTCTTTGACAACCTATAAAAAACAAGCTCACAGAAGAACAGCATATTACCCAATTATCAAGCCAAACAATGTCGAAAATAAAAAGCAAACACCGGAAACACCAAAAGTTGCCAAGAAAAGTACCGCTGTCAATAACAGGTATAACACAGATGACATTACATGTGATGTTCTACGTCTGAATCAAACGGAATATACAAATTCGATGTTTTCATTTGATGAAATCATTCAGTAATCATATATTAAGTAAAATTCAATCTATATTAGAGAAATAGTGTAAAGTATGGGTTTTTATTTCTTCCATATTTCCCCAATTATACGTGATGTTGATCGCAATGCCTCGACATAACCATGTTGTCAATAATAACAGCAGCAGAAAATGAATTGTTGATGGAAGAAAATTTCTTCTAAAAAAACTAATGCAGAATTACACTTTGATAAAAACTTTATGAATATAACAGATAGTGGATTCTAGTACAAATTAACTGTCTAATGCAGTCAACACGCATAAAATATACAAGTCATAATGTACAACTGCAATCGTTTAATCTCAAACTATTGCAATAAGCAATCACGGGCGCGCCGTGAAATACGCATTTGTCTAAGATTCTTATATTTTTAATCAAATTACGAACAACTAAAGCAATCAACATTAAAATGTGTTGTTTGAACAAATGTCATTTAAATGTTTCTTTATTAATTACTTAAAAAATTTGAGTACATTCACACATTTTCTTCTGAATTGCAATCATTTTCATTCAACAAAGAATTATTTGGTCGTATGTTAATTATTGATTTGCTTCTATTGCAAAATGCATGTATTTAAAAAATAACGACAATGAACACGTAAGTTAAACTAACAGTAATATACGTGATCTATGAAGCATATAGATCACGTATATTACTGTTAGTTCATTTAATACGAGTAATCAATGAAAAATTCATTTATTATTAAAAATTTTCAATTTACTACAAATATTAATCACATGCATTTTCGTATCTCAAAAATTTAGTAATGCGTGAGTTGTGTTTTTTTTCATCACACTTAATCTTTTTAGTGTTGCTTAAATTACTAAATAGGTTAATAAAGTACTGATATTGGTTATCTGTTAATGAGAAAAAGAAATCTGAAATTTTTAGTAAATAATGCTTGTAAATCGAAATGTTATTAAAATCGTTAAAACTGACACAATTTGATTTTTAAATATTTAATGAATTTTTTTGCTGCTTATTTATGCATTTGATTTTTTCTTTTACCGGAACAAAGTTTTTGATTTTTCATATCACATATGGTAGTATTAAAAGTTGTATTTGTTTGAAATATTAGTGGATTTATTGTAACTCATTTTATATAATTGCGAGTTTACGTTATAAAATACTTACTCATTGCTTTACTATGTGGTAAGTTAGTCAAAAAATCAAATCTCTGATTCGTTCAATAGTGTGAAAGTTATTTATGCACTAATAAAAATTTTTAATAATAATATTTCAGTTTTGTTGATTTATGGAAATTATTTTAAAAATATTAGAGAGTAAGAAAGATAGTAAATCAAGAAATACAAAATATTGTTTAGTAGATAGTAAGTCCTTATTTAAGAATGTATTCACGCTGACGAAAATCTGGAAATGTTGAAGACTAATATTTTGTACCCACAATTTTTTCTTTCTCAATGTCCTTGAACACTTACTTCTGCAGTCAATTTTTTTAAATGATGTAATGCTTAATTATTTTCAAGCTTAATGTTTGATTTTTACTGGCGTGCATGAATTATGTATGTTATGAATATTAAAAACATTTGAAGGAATTTTTTGTTAGAGTTTTAAAATTTAGATGGAATCAGTGATTAAGAGGGAGTTAGGTTTGACGGTTCTTGAGCCATTCGATTGTGGAGCTGGTGGTTGTATAAGTAAAGGAAGGGGCTACCATTGTGACAAGTATGGCGATTTGTTCATCAAATTTAATGATCGTGAAAATGTAAGTTTATTCTTACTCTTTGCATTTATTTCAACATGTCTTAGTTATCTAAGAATCTTTGAATTTTTGCCATTTATTTTTAAATACACTCTTTCTTTTTTTAACAGCTATAACTCGATTCCAATTATCAGTTCTTGTGAAAACAATTTCTTTTTCATCACATCACACACTTTTGGATTGTCGTTTTACAATAAAGGTGTTTTTGAGGCTAAGTGTATGTTCGATGGGGAATTCGCTAGCTTGGAAGCGATTCATAATACGCAGACAATACGTGTACCGAAGCCAATTAAGGTCTGTGTGAAGATTATGTGACATGATTGGCTTGCAAATTACAATATTTTCGTCATTTTCTGTTATCATTTTTAGTTTGGTAGTTTGAATCGATCTTAGTTAATAATGTCATTATTTGTAAGAGTATATCCGTTGGAGATCAGCACTGTTTGGTAACAGAGTATATTGACTTATATGGTGGTCCAAAATGCTCACAATTTGGTACAGACTTGGCACGGTGCATTCTTCGTTATTTTTTATCTTAACCATTCTTCTTACGCTGTTAGTCATCTTCATAGGCTCAATTAAACTTTCCAAGAATATATTAATCAAAAAGTTGAAATTAATTTCTATTTTATTCAATTTTCGTGCATAACCTTTTACTGATATACTGAAATTTCTGTACATCGTTTTCATTTTTTTTTATTTTCTCATTTTACAGATTGCATACACACAATGCTAATTTGATGAAGAAAAAGGAGCATGCAAGTTCTTTTGTTGGGGAACAAGAAAAGATTGTTGAACCAATTACGCAGTTTGGATTTCACGTTACTACTTGTTGCGGTTATATACCGCAAATGAATGATTGGATGAACAACTGGGTGGTATAACTCTACTATTATTTTTTTGTCTTATCAGTCATTTTGATTATAATTTGTTTTTACTTCGTATTTTGATCTAAAGTGGGTATTCCAAAAGTTGTGAAAAACTCATAGGGGCATATAGTTAACCCTGATTTTATTCATGTTGAGAATAATTGTATGATACTTTAAATTCAGAAGCCATTTCAGGAGTTTTTTGCAAGAAATCGACTCAAATGTCAAGTTGATATGCTAGTAGAAGTAAGTTTTTCAAAAATGTGGCACCTATTTTTACTACAATTTTTTATAATACCATAAACTGCCATGTTTTTTTTTTTTTTTT